CCCTAAGGTTTCACTACTCTAGAAATCCACATGAAACCTCTGAAGCTGATGACGTACTAGAATGGACAATGTCCTCAGATTATCCATGTTAATATCAGTAATTTGCTGCCTTATGCTTCTGTGTTTCTCATAGGTTCTAACTTATTCTGGAGTGGTGTGGGAAGTAGTATTAGCAGAAGTTCTTGGGAAGCCCGAACAAGTAGTCTCCTTTTGGTGAGTAATTGTTTCTGCATTTCCTCTAAAAGCAAATACAGTATTATTTTAGTGTTACTTTCTTCCTAGTATAAAAATAGGAATAAGATATGAAAGTTTAAAAATATGACAGCTGAGAATGTGTCTTAAACTCTAGAATTATACTACTAAAAATAACTTAAAGATTGTTTAATTAAACTATGACAGGCTCTGTGCAATCTGTGAAATTAGGTACCATAGAGCAGATTTTTGATTTTGAATGAGTGAGTTTATTAAGTATGTACAAAGCCAAAGTAAAAGAACAGATGGATAGATGGTAGACAGACAGACTGATTTTAAAATCATACACTCAAAACATCCCAGCAGAAACTGACTAGGGAACTCCATTTAAGGCAGTGAGCTGGAGTTCCCAGTTAATTTTCTGTTATTGCCTGCGCTTCCCATGGCTGAACTTCCAGCTTCTCTTTCTCACTACAGGTACTTGTATGTCATAGAATAAACACAGTAACATATGATGGAAATGGCTCACTTTCCAGCTGTTCTCAAGAGCACAGTGTTACTCTTGGGCTGTGTTACTGTTCTTTCCTCTCTGTCACAGAGTTGGTGGGTCAACCCATACCCAGACAAGAGTTCTTAGGGGATACTTGATAAAAAACATACTTAGGTGTGCAGTGAATGGGGTATGGATCCCCCTTCCAGAGCCAGCTTCTCGGTGAGCGCAAACAGCACATGACAGTTTACCAGTATGGTGTACATTACACAAGTGTGTGTCAAGAGACTGAAGACTGGTTCATTTAAGTGACTAGTCTAAGTCTAGCCAGTCTCCTGCGTTACAGGAAATCAGGTTTTTCAAAGCCTAAATTACAGTTCCCTAAAATATATAAAACAAAAATTGATAGATCCTGTGCATTCCAGTGAGTACTTCCAGAATGTGTTTTTTTTTTTTTTTCTTTTTTCTTTTTTTTTTTTTTTATGACTTTAACTTAAAGTTTACTTTGCTGAAGGTGAGAAATTTGTGGTTATTATTAATAAAAGTTTTTTATTTTATGATTTTCTAGGATTGTCGGAAGAAACATAAAGAAGCTAAAAGAAAGGTGAAAGCAAATTAACCAATATCAGCTTTGGTTTTGGTATTGGATGTGCAAATGGTTTACCAAATCTCCTAGATTTGTTTACTGACCCAGAAAATTGTTTACTGACGAAGAAGTTTCAGAGTAGAAGAATATTCAAAGCCTGGATGATCATACATCATTCTGATTACTGTTTGTTTCTATGGAATTTTTCTGTATCCCTTCCTTGGTGACTGTGTCCTAAAATTAACTGGGCCAGTTGTGGCAACACACACCTGTAGCCTCGGCACTTTAGCGGGGAAGTGGGAGGATCATTTGAGCCCTGAAGTTTTAGACCACACTCAGCAACACAGCAACACCCCCCCTCAGAACAATGCTCATTCTTGTTGTCCTTCCTAAATAACTAGTGGCCATCTCTTGGTGGGTGACTTACACAAAACCCTGTTTAATAAATGGTTTGATGCACTTGTGCTTTACCTCCAATATGTCTTTTAAAACTGAATTACAAGCCAGTTTTGAGTTCTGTACTTATTTTCTGATGACAAGTTGAAACTTTTTAATAAATGGTTTGGTATATTTTTCTATTTCTGATTATCTAAATACTCTTTACTTTCATTTTGTCTTAAAAAAATAAATTATAAGTTAATTTTGAGCTTTGTACTTGTATTGCCATGACAAGTTGACTCAAATGTGAAATATTCAGACTAACACCTTAGAGTTTTGTGAGGACCTTAACCTCATCTGATTAGTAGACAACATGTAGATGGGCCTATCAGTCCCAAAAGTCCAATTAGACCCAAGTTCATGAAAATACTAATTATCTAAAAGACCACTTACTTGTCAAGAGTCAGATCTCAAGTCCAGGTAGGAGTGTAGGTTTCATATTTCACTAAGTGTAGCTAAAGATTTAAGGTAGATTGTTCTCTTATTAAAATGAGCTCTGCCCAGGCATTGATGGTGCACTTTTTTTTAAACCCCTCCCGATGGTGGACACTTTTATCTCAGCACTCAGGAGGCAAAGGCAGGTGGATCTCTTAGTTTGAGGTCTAGGACAACCAGAGCTGCACAGGGAAGCCCTGTCTCAAACCAAACCAAACCAAATGCAAAAAGATTTTAGTCATAAGAGCCTTTTTGAGCTACAGTGTACATCTCAAGTTAGTGTATTATTTATTGATATACATTTTGCTGAAGTATAAACTCTATTGAGATCTATTCCTGGTTTATGTCTCCAGTGCCTATATCCATGTCACACAAATTCTCAGTTACTATGTTTTTGGATTTTTTGTTATTTTTAGTAAAATAGCATACAAGAGAGGTGACTGCATTTAAGAGTGCTTTCCAATCTCCCAGAGGACCCAAGTTCACAACACCCATGTCAAGTAGCTTACAATCTCTGGTAACTCCAGCTCAAGAGATCCTATCTATGTATGTTGTCTTGACCTCTGGGCCACTGCACTCACATGTACGTGCCCCCACCACACATACATACATACATACATACATACATACATACATACATACAAAAATCATTTAGATAAGTGAAATAGGATACAAAGAACAAGTAGCTTTAAGAGCTGGTCTAGATTGTTTCTAGGATTTCATATTTATAGATTAAAATCTACTTGGCAAGACACTTGAGGTGTTCCAACTTGATTAAATCACATACTTTCTTAGCTAATGATCCTAGTAAAAGTCACAATTTCGCTCACAGATACTAAATTTGGTAAAAGTTCTCTGCTCTCTATAGGGTTATTGGGGTGCATTTACTGTGCATAGATGTTCTGCTTAGATGCCTGGCCTACTCAATGTCTATTCAAGGGCTACTTCAAAGTGTGGCAACTAGAATCCTAGGGCAAATGCTCCTAGAGACAGGAAGCATGCTACCTACCAGTCTCCTAAGGTCTCCGGGGGTAGCAGGGGATGGGGTGAGGTTGGGTGGTGGTGGCTTAGTCCCTGGATCTATATTTTACAGTTTAAATCAATGGGATGAACCAAAGACCTTGTGTCCAAGTTTAAATCTGTCAAGAACTTCAAAGTAGATAAAGTGACAAGTGACCTTTTTCATTCCCAATTTTAAAAATGATATACTTCCTCCAGTAGTCATCTTTATAATTGCCTATCTTGCTTATGCTCTGTTTGATGGCATTTGCTCTTGTTTGGGGCTTTATGCAGACTTGGCAAAGAACTCCACCACTGAACTAAATTATGTTCCCAGCCAGTTTTTTTCCTCTTGAGACAGGTTTCTCTGTGTAGCCCTGACTGTCCTGGAGCTCAGCGGTTCCTCTGCGTCTGCCTCCTGAGCACTGGAATGAAAGGAGTGCACCACCAACACCCAGCTGTAGAATTTTTAAAACTACCTTTTGTCTACACAGTGTTCCCTCACTTCCTGACAGTATCTTACAGTGTGTCTCAGTCCATCTGGTCAGTCTCAATCACCCATAGCTTTGTGCAGGAGCCCTTTGTTCTATTTCTGCACTCTGACCAGAAAATAGACATGGAGTGAACCAACTGGCAACTTAAAGAACGCAAAACTTAAAAACACCGCAAATGTTTCTGATTAATAAAGACACCCTTACTCAAGAAAGTAAAGAGGGCAGGGAACCATTGCATCTAATCTTTGACACAGTAGGGTCTAAACATAGCGTTTGGTGTCAACAGACACCAAAATGTTCTTGTTAGGCTTTCTATCTCTTTTAGGGGAAATCTACTTTTTTTTTTTTTTTTTCCTGTCACTTAAGGATATAATAGGCACTTGGTTACTTATTCAACTCTGTCAACTTCTCAAGGTCAAAACTTTCCTTTATAGATTGCTGCCAGGCTCCATGATCTTTTTTGTTCCTGACCAGATCTGAAGGGTACTAAGTAGATGTATAATGATAATAAAGAAGCATTTTTAAAAGAATCATCCTAAATAAAGTTCTATAAGTTTCAGATTGTTGTCAGGCCCTTTCCTCCTCTTGCCATTTGCCACATGGCAAGCAGTATCTAGGTAAACTTGCACTATTCCCCAAAATAATTGTGAGGAGTTTCAGCTGTGGCATAAACTTTAGATGTCATGGCTGGGAATCTCAGTCGGTAGAGGGTGTGGCTATGGGGCATAAAGCCCTGAACTCATCCCCCAGGACCATATAAAAAGAGGCATGGGGACTGGAGGAATGGCTCAGCGGTTAACACTAACTGGTCTTCCAGAGGACCTGAGTTCAATCCCAGTAACCACTTGTTGGCTCACAACCATCTGTAATGAAATCTGGTGCTCTCTTCCGGTCTGCAAAGATACATGCAGAACCTTGTGTACATAATAAATACATCTTTAAAAAAATAAAAAGAGGCGTGGTGGGGCACTTCTGCAATCCCACCGCTGAGGTTCAAGGTCATCCTTGGCTCCTTAGGCGTTCCGGGGCCAGCTAGTGATACAGAAGACCCGGTGTCCAAACTAATTTTAAACGGTGTGAAATGTCCCGATCTTAAATATACTAACATATATTTAAGAATCCTGACATAGGTACCCGAGATGAAGAGAATGGGTGTCTCCTGTCCATAGGCTAAGACTTGGAAACCGAACTACCTGTCCTCCTGAGGTAAGAACCTTAGCCTGCAGGGAAGCAGTGGTCACCAGCGCCGCCTGAGGCTGTGGTGCGCACCCTTCTCCTTCCTCAGCAGTGACTCTCCCGACCTGCACTGCAGTCGTGCATGGACCAATCGCCACACATGTTGTTTGTGGGTGCCGAAAGGTACACGTTGATTGGGCGGCGCGGAGCCGGGCTGAGACTCGCGCTGTCAGCGTTGCATCACCTTCAGGCGCGGTTCTGGAGCGTGGTCGCCGGCTGCAACCTAGGCTCGCGGCGGGGTTCCCCAGGTGAGCTTCACCCTCCGCCCCTCCAGTCCCTCACTGCACTCAATCTGGCCCGTGCAGCGAGGCCTGCGCGTGTTACAACCTGCACACAACAGTGAAAAAGGAGCACATTGCTTCTTGCCGTGTGTGAGCTGCGTGCACAGAGCTATCCAGAGGGCGGGTCAGGAGCGGAGTAAGTAGCGTTGCAGAACTCAGACCTGCACACAAATTCTGGCCTGCCTCATTAGGTGGAGAACTGGGATCCTTAGAAGTCCCTCAGTCCCTAGGTGGGGCCACGGTGGTTTTTGAGCAGGGTAGTGTGAGAATGCAGCGTGTTGCACAATCCGGGAGTAGATAGGAAAGTGGATGAGGTGATTGCCAAGTTTAGGTATTGAAAAGGACTAACCTAAGAACCGTCCAGGATTCTGGGTTTCTCCCAAATGTCCCGCATTTATCTCTGGGTACCAAGGTGGGTTGTGCGTGGCGTGCTTGCCCTGGGCACAGAGTCTGGTAATTCAGTTTTAAGTTCACGCCTGGCGGCCACACACAACACACCAACTATACTTAACAGTAGTATCTCTTATAAGATTGAACTGAAGTGGGGCAGAGGACTATACCCAAAGGACTAACAGATTTGGGAGAATCGTGTTGGGTCAGAAGATGAGGGAGGGAGTCGTTGTTGTCAGTTGTTGTCACTTTAGCTTAGGATGTCTGTGATGAGTATGTGAGAATGACACCTGGCTTCCTACCTAATGAATTTATGGCTCTCATTTTTAATAAGAAATAAGTAAATAAGTTAATAAGAAATAAGTAAAATAAGGAAATAAGTAAAAATCGTTGAAAAAAACATATACCACATATAATACAAACTGGTATGTCTATACTTGCTTGTTTGTTTTCCAGGGTATAGGTAGAAAGTGCAGAGTCGGTGTTCTCTATCCACTAGTTCTGCATCTGGGCTTTCAACCAACCTGTGGTCATACTATGCAGTTAGGTCTATGGTGGTGACATATAAACTGTGTATGTACAGGCTATTTTTTCTTGGTCGTTATTTCCTAAACATTATGGTATAGCAACTGGCATTTAAATGTATTAGATATCATAGTAATCTAAAGATTAATTAAAATACATAGGCAGATGCTACATTTTTTTTTTTATAAGAGATGAACATCCTTGGTATGGTAGGTATGTGCCAACATGAGCATCAGTATTCACAGCGTTTCAGCATATTTTCTCCAGATAAGTTGAGTAGTGTAGAAGTAGCTGAGCAGACAGGTAGGGATGTGGTTCGGGTGATAGAGGGCTTGCCTGGCATGCATGAAGCTCAGGTTTCAAGCCTCGAAGCAGAAGCAGGCTGCACTCTGAGTTCACGGTCGCCATCGTGAAACTCTTGCCAAAAACAAATAAACAGGAAAACAAGCAACCATCCCAAACACATGCAATACCAACATTAGGGAGTAGAGGCAAGAGGGCCTGAGTTATGCCCCGCTACAGGGAGTTCAACCACCCTGAACTATGTGAGACTGCCTCAGGAGGGAAATGAACTCTCCAAGAGGACGCTAAGGCTAAAACCTCCTGAAGGAGTTACAGAACAAGAAGAAGGAAGGCCTAGATTGTGTTTGGAAGGAAGTAGACGGGTGGCACTTTTGTGCTTAACCTGGCCGTGTTACTAGCCCTTCCCCAACGCATCTGCCCCCACTGCCCTGTGGTTGCTGGAGGCTGTTGTGCCGGTACAGCGCTCCAGTGGATACAATGGGCTAGAAAAACCCTGTGATTTATGCATGGGAGCTGTTTCTCTCAGCAGCTGCCATAGCCCGGTCATTGGTACATTCTTCTTCCTTAAACAGGCAGCCATTGCTGTTGCGCCCAGCTCCTGTATTTTAGAGAACAACACTGAATCTGAGTCTTTTGAGAACAGCAGACACAACATAGAAAGTTCAGGAAAAGCCATCCTCTCACTTCCCAGAAAGTGTAGATTTCATGTTCTCAACAGGTTGGGTAGCTATCCCTGAACCATTAGTTGTCGACAATTAATGCTTATGAATGATCAGTGTTCCAAGTGTGTTCCGAGGGAGCTTCTCCTACCCCTCCCCCCCCAGCTCAACCTGCTTTCATATAGAACCCAGGACCACCAGTCCAGGGATGGCTCCATCCACAATAGACTGAGCCCTCCCCCATCCCTCATCAACTGTTTAAGAAAATGGCCTACAGACCTGCCTGCCTACAAGCCGTTCTTATGGAGGCATTTTCTTAGTTGAGGTCCCCTTCCCTAGATGACTTTAGCTTGTGTCAGGGTGACTGAAAACTATCCAGCACAAGAAATGATTGAGGAAAGACATCCTCCTGGCCCCCACACCCCACACAAAACAAGAAGAATAAAAAAAGTGAAAATAGTTTAAAATTAAAAAGAAACTCCCCAGAGAATGACCGGGTCCAGAATTTGAAATTCTTAAAATTCAGCCATGAAGAGTCAGTGTAACTCAAAGAGGACGAAAGGTGAGTAAATGTTAATCTTAAGACGGAACACAAGCAGATGAGTCGTGCACGTAGCGATGCATGTGCTCTTTGTACCCTGTGAGGTGGCTCTGATCTGAAGTCAGTGTGGAGTGGTGAGGAGTATGGAGAGAGTGGGCACCCCATTTACAGCTTGTGGAGTATGAAATGGTGCAGTCACTGGAAAACATCGTGATATTTCCTCAGGAAGTTAGTAACCGAGTTACATGATCCACGAATGCCACTCATACACAAGAGGAAAGAAAACGTGTCCATGTGGAAGTTTGAACTCAGTGTTCATAACAACCCTAAAAACTAGTCCCAAAGACAAGGTTAAAACCTGATGAGTTGATAAGTGATGGCTGTGCTGGATGCAGTATGAATGTGTGCTACAGTATGACTGACCCTTGAAAACTAAGAATTGGGACCACATATAGATAATTAATGTGACACTTTTGGTGTTTATTTGTTTTTCTTTTGGAGGGAGCTTCATGATGATTTCTCTGTGTAGCCCTGGCTGCCCTGAACTGGCTCTGTAGACTGGGCTGGCCTCAAACTCAGAGATCCACCTGCCTCTGACTCCCAAGTGCTGGGATAAAGGTGTGCACCACCCTCCCAGTGTGGAAATTTTATTTTATGTGAAATGTCAGTAGGCAAACCGTTAGAGTTAGCAACAAGATTATTCATTGCCAGGGACTAAACAAAAGAGAATGTGATTGCTAATGCTTGGAGGGAGAATTGAAAATATTCTAAAATAGTGATGGTGGCAGTGTGCCTGTAAATATCCTAAAAACTGGTTGCTTTTTGTATTTAAAAGTACACATTGTATAGTGTATACTTTACATTACCCAATAAAGCTTTTGCTTTAACACCCACAGCATGGACAGTCATGTATATGTGTACTTTAGTAATATGTTAGCTTGCTAGTCCTAACTTAGGAATTGCTGTGACTGTAGTAAATTTGATATCTCTTGCAGCAACAGAATGGTTCAACAAGTTCCAGAAAACATCAGTTTTCCTACTGAAGAAGAGAAAATCTTGCAGTTCTGGTGCAAATATAACTGCTTCCAGGAATGCTTAAAGCAGTCAAAAAACAGGCCAAAGTATGTGAGTTTCTGTGGTTAAGAGAGAATCCTTACAAATAGTAAGACTCTTGTATGGAGTTTTATTAGTGCGCACACCCTTTATTGGTCAGTGTGTTCTCAGAGTCTCTCAACAGTGAACACTGAACAGGAGAGCTCCTGGTTGTCAGAAGCCATCTGAATGGAGTTTATTAGCACTGCCTTTCTTGCATTTACTATCTTCTCTGCTCTCTCTTAGCACCTCTCCCTAAGCTTTCGTGGGTGGGTCCTACGTATTTCTTTCCTGCCTTAGTCTCTTTTCATAGTAAAGACTACTACTAGTCTTAGATCATTTGTTTCATTGTGAACCAACCTTCCCTGTTTAACAATTTTATGATGGGTGTTTATTGTTCTGCTTCATTGATGCAGTAACTCAGGATCCTTCTTAACTTGACTTATGTCTTGGAGATAATATATAAAGAACAAATGACTGAATAGCAAACCCCGCCCCCCCACCCCCAGCTCTGTCAGAATGGCCTTTCTGAAGGCAAGGCCTCCAATAAATTTCTGATCACTTATGTCTGTTTTCTAGTCCTGTTGACCACCTTCCCATTCCCCTGAACGATTTAGTACGAGAGGCACTTGATAGATGAATGTTCTGAATTTTTGCTGGTTTAAAATGACTTATTGTGCTTTGTATTATCTATTAGATTTACCTTCTATGATGGGCCTCCCTTTGCAACCGGACTGCCTCACTATGGACATATACTTGCAGGGACAATTAAAGACATAGTTACGAGATATGCTCACCAGAGTGGGTTTCACGTTGACAGACGATTTGGATGGGATTGTCATGGCTTACCTGTGGTATGTCTGAGTCTCAAGTCTTGTAATGTTCTGATTGTCTATAAATGTGTCGGATATTCCCTCTGAATTCTTATCTCTGTTGTTTTTTATTGTTTGGTTTCTCTGTAGAGTTTTTACGCATTTATTTTAGCTACTATTCTGGTTTCTGTTGTGGCTTACTTGTGTTCGTTTCATAAGGTGTGGTTGTTAACATAACTGTCTTACCTGATATCTTCAGGAATATGAAATTGATAAGACACTGGGGATCAAAGGGCCAGAGGATGTGGCCAAAATGGGGATTGCTGAGTATAACAAACAGTGCCGAGCAATTGTGATGAGATACTCTACTGAGTGGAAGGTATGTTGGGTATTTTCAAAAGAATGACTGGTTTGGTTTTGAGATGGACTGGAAATGGCTAATCATCCTTCATGTTTTTTTTTTTTTTTTTTAATGTTTCCCAAAGCATGGTGGTCCATGTGAGTTTGTGTCACAACTAGGGTTGGATTCTCCTGCCCTGTAGACATTAATCCCATCATTCAATTAGGTATCGAATCCCAGTGTTTCTTTTGGTGTCTAGTTTTTACTCCTACGGTTTTTCTCTAGCTCTTACCTATTGTCATCTTCTCTTTAAAATCCTCTCCGTCTCTATCCTGGTGTTCTTGGTGTTTCATTCTGTGTCCACTGGCCTAACATTCAAGTCCGGTAGCCTCATTCTGCATGCTGGAAATACACACACACACACACACACACACACACACACACCATTCTCTTCATAGTTCTCCCGTGTGCAAGTGTGCACACACATATACATACTATTCTTCATAGTCCTGCTGTGCAGGCTATTATGTTTCCCCTCCCACAATGCTCTCCTTAAAACTCTTCTGTCGCACCATTGAGTGGCTTTGGTTTATTCCAGTTTCATTAGCATGAAAGCCAGACCTCAGTTTACTTCCATCTTAACTTACTTGCCTAATACATTGGCGGGAAGTACTGATAATATGAACTTAACCTAAATATAGATAGGCTTTTAAAAACTTTTTTTTTCCCCTGATCTCTTCCCACCCCCATCCTTAAGGCAGGATCTCACTGTGTAGTCCTGGCTGGATTGGAACTCAGAGAGTTCTGCCTGCCTCTACCTCCTGGGTGCTGTGTGAGCCACCATACTCTTCCATTTTTCTAAAAATGCTTCATTTTGAGATAACCTAAAGCATATAACTAACTATCTACGTGGTGTGAAGCAATCCCCTGGAAAATCTACCATTTTCCAGATGCTGACATCTTCAGGAGTTCAAAAGCAGTTAATTAACATTAAGAAAATCCTGTCCAATTACTACCGAACTTTCTGGCCCCAGTGTCTACTCAGGGTCAGCCGTTGCCTTTACTGGCATGTCTTCTTAGTTCTTTCACATGTGACACTCATTTTAGTGTGTCTTTGTGCTTTATGACCATGCCACTTTTGGGAGCAGTGGCAGAGGCTATTCTGTACCGGAAACTATCCAGTTAATCGTTCCCTTCGTTAAGATGCTGCCTGGCTGTTTAGTTTTCCCTTGGGGAAGTGTAGGTTTTGCTTTGCAGTTAATAATTATCTTATGGGAATACTGTTTCCAGCATGCTTTCTGTTGTGATACTTTCAGTCATTATTCTTTTAGCAACTGTTGGTAAACCCTTCCTGGCTATGACTCTCTCTCCAGTAGTTGCAAAAGACTTTTAGCAATTAATATGTGTTGGACATGGTGGCACACACCCATAATGTCAGTACTGGGGAGACAGAAGGAAGATTATCTTAAGTCTGAAGCCAGTTTGGTTGATATAACATCAAATCACCCAGCAATAAATACATGACTTAAATAAGTAAATATTTTATACTGATAAGTAGCAATATCTGTATATTTGAAATGACTGCTAAGAAAACCAGTCACCTTAGGTGTTGTTTAAAATATGTTTACTTGGACCATCGATTATTTTGGTTTCCCATTAATAGTCGTGGAGTGACGATAAAAGTAAAAAAAAACAGTCATGGTATCATTTTCTAATACTGCTCTACCATTCATGTTCTTAAGTCTACCATTACGAGACTCGGCCGCTGGATTGACTTTGACAATGACTACAAAACACTGTACCCACAATTCATGGAATCAGTCTGGTAAGTTTATTTTAAATTGTAGAAATGAAAAAATCATTTTCTTGAATTGGTCAGAGAGGAGAGGTATACTTGCCTGATGAAGTTTGTTTACAAGTCCATTATTTGATTTTGGAGCAAATGTGTTTATCTTTTACATATTAAAAAAAGAAAAAAGAGGAAAGCAGGTGCGACTAGGAAGATTGAGCCAGGGTAGGAGTGGAAGACGAGAGAGGGAGAGGGAGAGAGAACAAACATAAAAGAGGGAACCATTATTGGTTTTGAAGAGAAAACTGAACCTAAAGAAAGGTCTAGAGAACTACAAGACGGCCTCCAACTAACAATATGAGCAACCGTGGAAAGGCTACCATAAATGCCCTTCCCTGATAATGAGATCAACGACTAACTTATCCACCATCATGGAGCCTTCATCTAATACCTGTTGGAAACAGAAGCAAACACCCATAACTAAACACTGAGTTGAACTAGAATCCAGAAGCAGAGGGAGAGGACAAGGCCAGGTTGCAGAAACACATAGAGACAGCTGACCTGAGAGCTGGGAATCCAGCATTGGAATGACTCAGACCCCCTGAATATGGGTCTCAGCCAGAAGGACTGAGCAGTCGAAGAGACAATGGAACCAGGATGTATCCCTGGTGCACAAAAGGACCTTGTGGACACATCCCCCATGGAGGGAAAACTGCCTTAACCTAGAGACAGGAGAGAAGTCCTAGTCCCCACTTCAAATGACCTGACAGACCTACATGAACCCACCTAGATGGCATTGCCCTACATGTGGAATTGGGGTAGGGGGATGGGAGGGGAGGGTGGTGCATGTGAGGGGAGAAAAAGGGTAAGAGGGACAGGGAGGGAGGGGGAACTGGGATCAACATGTAAAATTAAAGAAAAAAGACCTGTATAGCTTTGTCTAAAGTCATAAGAATGATTTACCTCTGATTTTATTTTTTAATTTTTCCTCATAAAAATGACATTTTGGCAAGTAGGAGAGAGGGTTTTCCGTTGGTTTGTTTCTTTTCCTTTGACATTGCGAGGGCCTTACTCAAGGCTCCTGAGCAGATACTCCACCACTGAGCTCCAGCCCTGTGGGAGAGCATGTGGAATCCGTTTGTGTCCTTTTGTGGGTAGTGGCACACACTTATCCAAGCAGTGTGGAGCTGATGCAGGAGGGGTATGAGTTCAGGGCCTGCCTCGGCCACTTAGTAAGAGAAAGACTGTCTCACAAACAAAAAATACCCTAGGGATATGGCAACTACAATGAAGGTTTTAAAAAAGGAAAAGCAGAATTAAGTAAGGATTCCCACCCACCAATGCCATGTGTTACCCAGTTGGGAGAAGTGAGTAGTCAACAGGAGAATCTGAGGTGATGTTATCTCCAGTGTCCTTGAATTTATGTATTCATCAAAACATTTTAGTCAGTGTGGCTTGTACTTTTACAGAAACTGCCCGTTACAAAGTTTAAATAATGTACCAGAAACCTAAAGAAAAGCCCGTAAATGCTAGTGATGTTGGTAAAAATTGTTTTATCACATCTCTAAGGATTTTATTATGAGGATGTATGCTGATAGGGACAGATTTATATCATTGGTAAAGTACTGTGCAGTGTGCACTATTGTTTGCCTTTCTTAATCACTATGAACATCTTTCCTTATCAGAAGGTGGTAGCCACACCCTAAACCCAACCCCCATGCTGGTGGTTGAACTCTAGACCTTGCACATGCTAGACAAGCACTAAGTAATGCCCCAGCCTTGATAATAACACTTTTCTAGTCTACATTTGGGTTAAATGTTGTTATTTACCAGCAAGCTTCCAAATGATGGGTTTTTTTTGTTTGTTTGTTTTTTTTGTTTTTGTTTTTGTTTTTGTTTTGTTTCATTTACTTCTTTACCAGGAGGACACTAGGAATTGGTGTAAGTTTGCATTTGAACAGTAGATTTGGGTTATGAAGTTGTAAAGCTTCCTCTCTTAACTTGCCAGGTGGGTCTTCAAGCAGCTGTATGATAAAGGCCTTGTGTACAGAGGCGTGAAAGTCATGCCCTTCTCCACCGCTTGCGGCACTCCACTTTCTAACTTTGAATCAAACCAGAATTACAAGGTACGTGGTGCTGGGCACTGGCTTAGTCCATGATTGTTGACTGATTCCCAACATGGACTGCTGTTGTAGACATCTGTCACTACTGAGCGCTGGTAGATTAAAATGGGAGGTATTTTCTTTCCACTGGATTTATCACGTGTCTTAATGTGATGGATGGTTTTTGTTTTGGCCATATTGCGTGCCTCCTCTTGCCTAGCTTTGACATGGTTTTTCCCAGGCACCGTCCGTTCTTCAGGGACTTTGTCTTTGGTGGCTTTATGTCTTTTCTGGTACCTGTAGTTAAAGGTATGGGGACGGAAATCTAGTGCTGTGATGTTGAGCTGTGTTATGATCTTTTCTCTGCTGCACGGGACTTGTGTCATTGGTACGACTGCTCTGTGTCATCTAGAAGGTGAAGTAGTCTCTGAGGACATGAACTGCCTCATGTCCTGTGTGTCTGTGCTCAGCATTCACTTTTGCCAGTTTATGTGACAGTCACTTTTTAGAAGTCTTGTTAATGCTCAGGTTTGAAAATTATTGCATTGCAGGAGCATTTTATCATCATGGTAGAGAATGTTTTCCTTGTTAGATGGGATAAGATTTTTTTGTTTTCTATTGTTTTTGTTTCCTAATTGCCTTTGTTATTGGCTCATACATAATTAATATTTATTTATTTGGTTTTTAAGATAGGGTTTCTCTGTATAACAGCCCTTGCTATCATGGAACTTGCTTTGTAGACCAGGCTGGCCTTGAACAGAAATCCATCTGCCTCCAGAGTGCTAGGATTAAAGGTGTTTACCACAACTGTCTGGCTTTAATAAAATATGCAGTATAACATGAAGAGATGATTATTTTCCAAAACAGTTTTTGTTACTTAACTTTGTATACTTACTGTAGATCAGATCACTGTAATAGAGAAACTTCCATTCTTGTTTTTGGTTGTAATCCTTACCCTTTAATGGCTATGCCATCTTTCAAACCCCAAAAAGTCTTCCATCATAATTCATAATTGATACATAATTTTAATGTTACCAGATGTCTTACAATGCACTTTTAATGTAACTGCTGCAACATTTGAATGTAGACATGGCTTAGCAGTTAGAGCACTCATTTTCCTCCCAGAGTACCTGCGTTCAGTTCCCAGCACCCACTTGGCAGCCCACAACTGTGGCCTGTAACTCCAGTTCCAGGGGATATGATGTCCTCTTCCATGGGCATCAGACAGATGCAGGCAAAATACCCATACCCATAGAATACAACTTTTAAAAATTATAGTGGGTGGGTTTTTTTTTCAAAGCTCATTTTTATCCTAAAATTTATTTTAGTCCCCTTTCAGTTCAGCCCCTTATTATTGTGTACTTTACGGATTTATTAAACACTGCTTCCCCTAAATGTCTTTCAGGATGTTCAGGATCCTTCAGTATTTGTAACGTTCCCTTTGGAGGAAGATGAAAACACATCCTTAGTTGCTTGGACAACCACTCCTTGGACTCTACCTAGTAACCTTGCCCTGTGTGTCAATCCAGAAATGCAGTATGTGAAGATCAAGGGTGAGTATTAGGCTAATTACTTGTGATCATACAGATAAAGTCATTTTATGTAGATATAAAAGCTTACATTTATTTTTGGAGTAAAACAGTTTTATATGAAAATTTTACTAAAGATACGCTATGAGGCCTGGTATGGTGGCACACACTTTTAAGTCTCAGCCCAGAGACTGTGGGTGCTATAGGCTACCCTGAGCAACATCCTGTCTCACAGCTAGACAGGTGGGGGAGAGAAAAGGAAAGGATAGAAAAGAAAGACAGCCTGAGAGTTGTTTCATTTCTGCTTCAAAGTGACACAAATTTTATGGTTTCCAGTTTTAACATAATTTTTGAACATTATTCCCCTTGGTAGATAATTCTTCTATTCTCAACTAGGTCCTTTCTTAGAGATTTGTATGGAATTTGGTGGTTGATATTTTCTGAGCATATATAGTTCCAGATCTGGAGAAACTACTGGGAGGAGAAGAGAAAAACACATTGGGCAGGGCACCTGTTTTGAAAGCAGCATGGCATTTCTTCTGGAGTTACGTGTAATGTTACCTAACAGGTTGCCTCGCAAATTGAAACCAGGATCTGGGTTTGGGTGCACATGCCCCAAATCCTCATACGTGGGATGCTGGAGAATAAAGAGTTTGAGGCCAGCCTTGGCTACCCAGCGGTGAAAACAGGTGCCCGTTCAGATACTGTTGCACCTGTGTTTCTATCAGCACTGTTGACAGCAGACAAGGCATGGAATCTGCCTGTGTGGATTCATGGCGAATGTTTTCCAGCCTTAAAAATCTGTGTGTGTGGTCAGCAGGAGGGGTGGGGGCCGACTATTTGGTTTCTTCCTGAACCCTGGAAATACCTGTTGGGGATGGCTGTTGCCCATATGGGATCCTGGCTCTGGAGTCTGTAGCTGCTTCTCTAAGGGGGTTATTATGATGCCATCAGGGCTAGTTTCCTACATAACTCATAAGTGTGAGCCTGGCACCTTAGGGACTTTCTGGTGTTGCAAATGTAACTCGTGTGTTTGCATGACACAAACAGACACCCCACACCCCACTTGTATGTTTATATATTTTGTGTCATTCTTGTCATATTTTATATAAAATGTAGACTTAGGTATAACAGTGTTTCTGACTAACTATACTAGTGGAAACAGTTTTTGAATGAATTACAAAGGTTGTTAAAAGTGATCGATCAATGGAAATGTAAAGCATATGCTCTTGTAGGTTATAGTGTATCACACTTTGTAGTGGGAGTTTTAATTCCCCACTTTTAATTGATTCATTAGAAATAATCTGTGGTACTTCCATTGGAAAAATTCAGTGGTGATATATGAAGGGATCAGGCTAAGGAGCCGGTTAAGTCGGGGGCTGGGAGAAATATCTTTATTTTCTTCTGTATATGATCATAGTCCCAGTATGTTAAGTCACATGTGCTGGAAGAGGGTCTGAGTATCAGCTTATGGTTGTTCCGGGTTGAAGAGAACCTAACACATCTCACACACTGCTTAGGATGCGAAAAAAATCACCTGGGTGACTAGACACAGACAGTCCGAGGGATGAGGTTATAGAAACGGTGGCTTTGTGAGCTACTTGAGTTGCTAATGTTAAGATTTGGGTGCAGTTGCTTGTTAGTTTTGAGATAGGGCTTCACTGTTCAGTGCCTGTTGGTCTGGAACTCACTTTGTGGACCAGGCTGCCCCGGAACTCAGAGGTCTCCCTCCAAGGTGCTGGGATTAAAAGCATGTATTACCATGCCTGGCTTAATGTTAGGTTTTTTTTTTTTTTTTTTTTTAAACATTCACATACCTTTAGAAAGAGAAAAAAAGATTGAGTCCCCAAAGTGGACTTGGATGCAATTAATAATTGCCACCCACCCCGATGCCGGTGATGTCTATGGCACATCTGGGTAGCAGTGTTGCCTAGTTTTGCAGTGTCCTCTGTGAGTCTGGGCACACAGTAGACACAGGCAGGTGACACAAACTTCTTGGCACAAGAAATATGGCTGGTGTGTGTCTTCATAGTCAGCTAGTCTGAATGTCACTAATGTCCTCTTCCTTCATTATCTAGATGTTGCCAGGGGGAAGTTGTTCATTTTAATGGAACCCAGATTATCGGCCCTCTATAAGCTAGAGAGTGACTATGAGATCCTCGAGAGGTGAGTGTTCACATGGTTAGGTGTGTGTGTCTGCTTTTAGTTTTAAAAGAGACCGTCATCCTAAAGCTGTATTATTGAAGTTGAGTTTTAGGTATCAAATACATTTAAGTCACAAATCTCTGTATTTGTAACAGTGACTGCAAGCCTCAGACTATGGTGACTTATTCTGGCTACGGCTTCATCACTTTCATTGATTGACTGATTTTTTCTTTTTTTTTAAATCTTGTATGCACATTATGTGTGGGTGGGTGGGCACATGTATGCGCTAGGTAAGCATCATGTCCTCCTCAGTCGATCTCCTTGGGTTTTTTTGTTTGTTTCTTTCTTTCTTTGTTTTTTGTTTTTTTTTTTTTTTTTTTTTTTTGAGACAGAGTTTCTCTGTGGTTTTGGAGGCTGTCCTGAAACTAGCTCTTGTAGGCCAGGCTGGTCTTGAACTCACAGAGATCTGCCTGCCTCTGCCTCCCAAACACTGGGATTAAAGGCAGGCGCCACCACTGCCCGGCTTCCTTGTTAGTCTTAAATTGGGCTCTCTCTCTGAACTTGTGCCTCCAGTTTGAGTTAAGTCCCAGGAATCGACATGTTTCGCCCTCTCCCGCTCTGGGATTCCAGGCGCACACCACCTCCCCAGCTTTTGACTTGTGTTTCAGAAATCCAGACTCCAGTTCTTATGCTTGAGCAGGAAGCCTTTTACTCCATGGCTTTATTGCTTTGATTTACGGATGCGACTTCTTTTTCAAGGTTTCCTGGAGCCTCTCTTAAAGGAAAGAAATACAAGCCGTTGTTTGACTACTTTATTAAGGCAAGTTCGGAGCTGTTAGGCTGTGGCTCTCTACATTCATTTCTTTGGTAATAGGACTGAGGTGACCAGTGGGACTCATGTGACCTCCTTACTCTATTGTTCTTGTGTGTCTGAATCCAAAACTTTGCTTCATTATTAGAAAATTGCTTTCTCTTTGAATCTCCAGACTGGCTTTTCCCTTTCCCATTTCTCTGCCTTTGCTGTAAGTTTGTCTCCTGTTTTAAATGCCCTTTGCTTTTCTGTCATGGTATTACTGAGTTCAGTTCACTTTCAAGTCCCTCCCCCATTCTCTCTCTCTCTCTGTCACTTTGTGTGTGTGTGTGTGTGTGTTCATATGCGTGTGGGTGTGTGTACAGGTGTGCACACATGTGGAGGCCAGAGGTTGATACCATAACTTCTTAGATCCCTTTCCACTTTAATTACTGAGGCAGGGTCTCTTGCTGAACCTGAAACTTGCCAGTTCAGCTAGTCTATCTAGCCAGGCTTGTCCCAGGGACTCCTGTCTCCACTTCTCTGTGTTTTCTTTCCTAATTATTCTATTTGCATGGTCAACAGTTAATTCCAGGCCCTTCTCCCTGGGTTGCATCTAAAGCTGTGCAACCTTTCCTTTGCAGTATAAAGAGAACGGGGCCTTCACTGTGCTTGTTGACCACTACGTGAAGGATGAAGAAGGCACGGGAGTCGTGCACCAGGCCCCTTACTTTGGTGCTGTGAGTAGCATAGTCTTGCAGATGTGTTTATGAGAAGTAAATGTCAGTGGCCACTTTGCCTGGGATGCTGAGTCTTGAGTCTTTAAATTAAGCTTCTCCCTCTTGCCAAGACCAATAGAGTTGGCTTGTTTTCTGTCCCATTGTCCCCAAAGATGGCATAGAAAACTTGTCATCTGCAGTCCAAATTCATCTTGTTGGTTTCTGGAAGCAGGTCAGACCTTAAGCTATTGTAAATCCTAAAACAGGTGTCTGCCCTTCCTTGCTAAGGTTAAATGTGCAAAGGCCATCATAAGGAACGTTAACTAGTGGGGGATTTTTGTTTTGTTATTGTTGTTTAGGTTTGGTTTTTTTATTTATTTATTTTTGGTTCTTTTTGTTTGTTTGATTTTCAGGGTTTCCTCTGTATAGCCCTGGCTGTCCTGGAACTTACTCTGTAGACTAGACTAGCCTTGAGCTCACAGATAATCTGTCTCCAGAGTGCTGGGATTAAAGGCATGTGCCACCACCACCAGACTTAGTGAGGTTTTTTTTTGTTTGTTTGTTTGTTTTTGTTTTAAGACATGGTCTCACTATGTAGCCTTGATCCTTGACTGGCCTAGAACTTGCTATGTAGATTAGGCTACTCTTGAAACAGGAGATCCACTTCTCTCTGCCTTCTGAATGATGGAATTAAACATATGTACGCTGTTCATGTGTGGCATCTCTGATGGTTAGGATGATTGAGCTAGATAATCTAACTCCTGTCCAGCTGTGAGGCCTAGGTTCTATATGTCGTCCTTAAATCACCTCCAGTTAGAAGTAGAAGGTTAACTAGATGCATATAAGATAGTATTGAAAAGTTATTTTACAAATCTATGCAAACTCCAGGTTTTCTCTGTGCTCACACATACGCTTAGACACTTTTATCCCTGGCCGCCCCTCTGCCTGTTCTTTTTTCCTCAGGATGACCATCGGGTCTGCATGGACTTCAACATTATTCAGAAGGACTCCACCCCTGTTTGCCCTGTGGATGCTTCAGGCTGCTTCACAGAAGAAGTGACACATTTTGTGGGACAGTATGTGAAGGTCTGTGGCTTGTTACATAGAAGGGTGTGGGTCCCATCATACTCATATCAGCTTGCCTGTCTTCCAGTAAGGAAATGTATTCGACTAATTAATCTCCATTATTCACAGTTTTGTTAGAACTAGTGTAGATGTTTTAGAATTTTGTTTAAGCACCTAAGATCAGCTATTAGGAGCCACATTCAGAGGGCCGAGTATGTCCCGTCAGTAGGAGTTGGGACCTCTGCCTAAAAAGCTACGGATGTAATTTTCAATTACTTAAGAAGCTAAAACAGAGCAGGGTAGTTTCCTGGGTTTTGTTTTTTAATGTGGTGTTGAGGGTGAAGCCAAGGGTCTCATGCATTCTGGGTAAGCTTTCTACCCCCTAGCTGTGTCTCCAGCCCCCGGAATGGAATTTTCCATTGACGTCCATTATTTGTGCCATTTATTCATTATGAAATAACAGATTTTAGTAATACATTTGTGCTGTTACTAAGTGTGCTAGGGTGTCTTAATGAGTGGGTTTTAATTTTTTAACAGGATGCTGACAAAAATATCATTAGGATGTTGAAGGAACAGGGCCGACTCCTTGTAGCCAGCACCTTCACTCACAGCTACCCTTTCTGCTGGAGGTGAGAGAGACTGGCTGTTGTAGGGGAGCTTCACGGCTGTGGGCATACTCTTTGCTTTGCTTGTGCCTCCGTAGTTCGGGGTTTGTCCCATGATGTCTTTTAGAACTGCAGTGTAGAAACACTATTTTAGGAGAGAAATTGTGTCCTGGAAAAATAGTCCTATATGCATATCTGTTTTGTGTTGCGGTCATTTATTTTTTTTTTTTTAAAGATGAAAAGCATCTCTGAAATTTTATGATGGGATTTCTTTAGGTAACCAGGCTTTAATGTTAGAACATCCTGTAGATATTCAGATGAAACTGTGTTCAGTGTCCTGAAATTGGGCCTCACATTTTCTCCCTTGCCCCTGTTCCATCATAAGAACTTTTTCTTATAAGAATTTTTTCTTATTTTACATATTGATCCCAATTCCCTATCCCTCCCTTCCAGAAGAACCATTTTCTAAGGCTTTGAAAACAGGGGGAGGGGGGAGGAGTATGTGAGTTTAAGTGTATGTGAGTATGTGTGTGTATAAATGTGTGTGTGTGTGCGTGCGTGTATGCACGTGCACTTGTGTATGTGTATGCTCGATCTCAAAAGTTAGATCAGTGTGTCAGGACACCTTAAGCTGAAGTTTCAGGTTGTCATGAGCTTTGGGTGCTGGGATCCAAATTTGGGTCTTGTGCTGGAGCAGCAGGCTCTCTTTGATTGCTGAGTCATCTCTCCAGCCCCTAATTTTGCTCTACAGTTTTCCTTTTTCTTTCTTGGTTTCATCTGAAAGGAGATGAGGAAGCTTAGACATCTCTGTGTGTGTTTATTTGTTTTATGTGTGTGTGCTGCCCTTGTGGAGGTCAGAACAACATGTAGAGGTTGGTTCCCTTAGTCCACTGTGTTGGTTCCAGAGATCAAACTCAGGCTGGACAGCATGTACCTTTCCCTTTTGAGCCATCTTGCTGGTCCAGACATGCGTAATCTAAAATAAAAGTCAATGTCAGCAGAAGGCTGAGCAGTAGGAAGTGATGCTAATTGGAAATTACAGTCAGTCTTGCCCTTGGTGCCTGCGCCTCTGCCTAATGGGAGCATCTGTGTTCCGGTCCCCAGGTCAGACACTCCCCTCATTTACAAGTCAGTGCCCAGCTGGTTTGTGCGAGTGGAGCACATGGTGGAGCAGCTGCTGAAGAACAATGACATGTGTTACTGGTGAGCATGAGACGTGTTCCTTCCCGTGGTCTTGTGCATGCAGCGAGTATAGCTCATGCTGCTCAGAACAGTTCATACTGGCCTTCTCTAATTGTTGTGATTTGTAACTGTCTTTATTCTCTGTGTAAGGAGCACAGGATCATACACAGTTGAAGTAATGCCTGCTTGCAATCGGAGATGTAATGACTCACTTTTCTTTGTAAAACCCAATAGAGATGGCAAGTGCTACCTGCCCGTGATATATAGAATGAACTGACTTTGAGAAAAACATCTTAGCCAGACATGGTGGGGCACACCTTTGATCCCAGCACTCAGGAGGCAGAGGCAGTCAGACCTCTGAGTTCAAGACTGGCCTGCCCTACATCGTGAGTTCCAGGGCAGCCAGGGCTACTCAGTGAGACCATGTCTCAGAAACACATGAACAAGCCATCTGGCTATCTTCAAACTGGTAACTTTAATAATTTTCATGATAAAGTCTAATGTATATTTGCCAAAGCCATTTATTTATACCTAACCAGTTTGGGTGCTTGTGTTCCTGATAGGGGTTTTACAGAGAAAAGTTGAGTTCTTATGTCTTCTATTACAAACAGGCATTACTTCAACTGTATATGATATGTGTGGTGTCTTCTGGCCTTAGCTTTACAGAAAGTTTGTCCTCCCTGGCTGCTCTTCCCTGCAAATGCCAGCCCAATTCATGAATAACCAAATAGCAAAAAAAAAAAAAAAACTTCCCAAATGTGCTCATCTGTTCAGACTGTGTTGGTCCTGAGCTTAGCTTAGTGTTTCCACAAAGTCCCACACAGGCTTGTGTCATCATGGCTTATCATTTTCTCCTTATGTTGTTCTTGCATGACTGGTAATATAATCTGTCTGTGGCAGGGTCCCAGAGTTTGTACGAGAAAAGCGGTTTGGAAATTGGCTGAAGGAGGCACGTGACTGGGCAATTTCCAGAAACAGATACTGGGGTACCCCCATCCCACTGTGGGTCAGTGAAGACTTCGAGGAGGTGAGACTGGGCAGATGGCTTTGTGTTGAGGGTTGTCGAAGTTCTTTATCATGTTATATGAGTATGGAGTTAAAAAAAATGGGGATCTTACTGGGTTTTGTTTTGTTTTTTGTTTTTTTAATGATAGTGTGAGATAATCTGTTTAGTGGTTTAATTTTTATCTAAGGGCAGCTTTGAATTTTTATTCTGTAAAATGGGAGAAAAAAATAGTAACTTTTTTCCCATGAAATCCACACATTAGGATGGGTGTTGTTTTGATTTCCCCTATGCCCTTCCACAACATTAAATTACAGAACTAACTGAAGGTCAAACTGACTTGTTGGATGTGATGCACACCTTTAATCTCATCATTCACGAGGCAGAGGCTGGGGAATCTGTCAGTCTCTGGACAGCCTCATCTCCACAGAAAGTTCCAGACTGCTACAGGGACATTCTGAGACTATCCAAAAAAAAAAAAAAAAAGTTAAATTAAATTGAGGAATAATAAAAGGGGGAAACATGGTGAAGAAGAAACATCCCAAACATTGCCTACCTTAACGTCTGAAATTGTGTTGTTTGTATGTGAGTATAGATGCATGCTGTTGGATAGGCAGATATTATTCCATGGCAGAGCCTTCTTTCCAGTGTGGTGAGCATGCCAGCAGCATTGAGCACATACACCCAGGATTTAATGGATTTCCTATTGGACCTGAGAAGCAATAGAGTAGTTACTCCATCAGAAAACTTTTCAGTACTGAAGGGGAGGAGCAGAGAAAGGCCATGGGCGCCTCTAAAAAACAGGACTTTCCCATGCCTCCTTCCCCCACCCTACACAAAATAAATAAGTAAAAAACTAATGTGGCCAGGTGTTGGTGGCACACACCTTTAATCCCAGCACTCAGGAGGCAGAGGCAGGTGGTTGAGGCCAGCCTGGTCTACAGAGAGAGTTCCTGGATGGGCTCCGAAGCCCAAGACAAAGAAACCCTGTCTTGAAAAACCAAAAAAGACAAAAAGAGAAAATTAGGTTTCTAAAATTGGACAAAGCACTGCCTAAATGGCCTCAGCCTAGTCTCCTTGCCTCTGAGGGCTCCTTTCATCTTCATCTTGACAGGTAGTTTGCATTGGATCAGTGGCAGAGCTTGAAGAATTGTCGGGAACAAAAATCTCAGATCTCCACAGAGAGAGGTCAGTTCCAAAACACCTGACTCACTGCCATGCTGTCGTCCTGGTAAGACCGGGAATTGCAGATCTGCATTGGGAAGGCACTGGTCTGTTACTTACCTTGTTGATGAGCCATGTTGGCTTGTGTTGATGCATCCTTCCCCTTGATGAAATGTCAGATAACTTTGGTGCATGACCATGCAGATTGAAGGCTCCCGCTATTCTCAGCTTTGGAGACAACTGCCCTTTTTTGAGACAAGATATCACAATATAGTAACCCTTGCTGTTACAGAAGTCACTATGTAGGTCACGCTGGCCTTGATCTCACAGAGATCCACCTGCCTCTGCCTCCTGCCTGAGTGCTAGGATTAAAGGTGTGCACCACCACACCAGGCCACACTTTTTTTTAGCAGATAGGTCACTTAATCTACTAGGTGTGTGTGTACTGAAAGGTGCATCGTTAGACAAATTTATCATTGAACAAATACTCAGGAGTGAGCTTGCCCAAACCTAGATGGTACAGATAGCTTGGCCTGTTGTAATATAGACAAGATACTTATATGTGAAATGTAAATGGGTGTTGGCAACATACCATGGCATAGTTTTACAGTGGGAGTTAGTGTACAACCAATACTTACAATAAAAATACTTAAATAAATAAATAAAAAGCAGACATGCCTGCTGTAATCTGCATTCAGGTGGTAGAGGCAGACCCATCAGAGTTCAGAGGCATTCACAGCTACATAACAAGTTCAAGGCCAGCCTGGGCAGTGTGGGCCTGTCTCAAAACTAGAAAAAGAAATGCAGTAAATGCATAAATGGATTGCATAGTTGTTTGTGGTCACCATTTGCTACAGTGAGCCATGGGTACTTTTCATGTGCTGCCTCTTGCTGTGCAGTGGTTTTGTTTGTCTGCCTCCCATCATCACATGTACCATGTTACACCCTTGTAGGACCACCGCTGCACACGTGGTCCCTCATTTACTGCATTCTTGTCCGCCTAATTCGCATTTCAACTGCAAGCTCTTGCAAATCTTGTGTTTGTCAGCATTGACCACCTGACAATCCCATCCTGCTGCGGGAAAGGACCGTTGCGGCGCATCTCTGAAGTGTTCGACTGTTGGTTCGAGAGTGGAAGTATGCCCTATGCCCAGGTTCATTACCCATTTGAGAGCAAGCGAGAATTTGAGGACGCTTTTCCTGCAGACTTCATTGCTGAAGGCATTGATCAAACCAGAGGATGGTATACCTCTTCTTTCTTCCGATATTTCTGTTGGTTTTACTTTACTGGAAATGTGTTTAAGTACCCACATGCTTCTGCCTAGTGCTGATGTGGTAATGAGACAGGCTGTTCTGCCCAGCATGGACATCAACCTGTCTTTCAAGTAGAAATCTTGGCTACCATAAAATGATATTGTTACAGTTTGTGTTATTTCACACTGTGGAATATATCTGTATATTAAATTGAAATAAACTCTTCATACATATTTTTTAGCTTACTTATTTAAAATCTTTTACTCAGACAGTTAAATTATCTTTACAGTGGCAATTGGTTGGGTGCTAGATATCAGAAGGTAGTTGGAAATGTGTTCAAAAGTCTAGCCTATGTATTAACATTCTGGAGAAATCCAGGCATGTGTAGGGATTGTGGAATTACTTTCATTTAGCGAGATCCCTGTTTGAAACTGTGCTGTTATGTTCACTAGGAGGTCATTTACTTCCTCCTTGTGGGCGGGCTCTGTGGCCCGTGTGCTGACTTGGTGCTAGCCATCATTGTCGCTGGTGTGGCAGGGTTGTGTTTAGTTTAAAGAGCTGCTGCTGTGGTTTTCTGCTAGACCTTAACATTCTGCAGAGGTCTGTCCTCACACTCCAGTGACTACCAGAGGCTGTTCCAGGAACAAATTTCTGGGGCTCTTGTTGTTGTCTGATTGTTGTGTTTGTTTAAATACGTGTGTATGTGTGTGTCACTCCTTGAGTGTGGTTTTGAGCATGTAAGTGCAGTGCCGAGGCCAGAAGAGGGTGTCTGAGTTTCTGGAACTAGAATCACAGGCTGCTGGGAGCCATGAGGTGTGAGTGCAGGGAACCGAATGCTGGTCCTCTGAGCTGCTCATCCCTCTCTCTCCATCCCACGTTTAAGGGGGGTCGATTACTTACTGATGGGTGAGCTTTCTCCTCTGGGGAAAAGTGAAGTCTGGCCGTTGTTAAAGACCCCTTAGGGTTCCCTTGTCCTCATTGTCTGCTTCCGGTTCCCTTTTCTTTGCCTGAGCTGTCTCCTGGGCACCAGGAGGAACAGAAAGGGTTGTCTGGATGGGTATTGATATCAGGATTGGACTCTGGTCCTCTCTTTTTCAGTTTGTGTTTCTTGATGTTCTTGAAGTACAGGAGCAGGTCAAGATGACAGGAGAACATCTCCCTGATAGAGGAAGCAAGTCAGAATGGAACAAGAATGTCCCACCTTCACAGTGACAAGGCTGTGAATGGTACCTGAGTGAGAGGCTTCTTACTCACCTTACGGAGTGGAAGCATTTTCTGGTTCTGTAGTCTAAGTGCTGTTTGTGTCTTTGGTCATCACATGGTCTGTTCCATATGCTCTTGTAGGAAGCATGGCATCTCTGGTTGTCCTGGGGGTGGGGGACCCTGAAAGTGCAGTGGTTTCTCATTGCAAATTTTTGTTTTAAGAAAAATGTTTTTTGGCAATTAATTTGAGTGATTTTTTTTTCTCATGGGCGATACGTTTGTATCTATCACTTTATATGATTATCAAGATGGTATAATATAGGGCTGGGCAGTAAGTAAAAGCACTTACCACCAAGTCCAATAACCTTGCAGGACCCACAAGGTGGAGAGAACAAACTCCCACAGGTTGTCTGACCAACACATACCCCAAAAGTAAAAAACAAACAAATTAATTAAAAGTTCAGTCTAGTGAATAAATATACGTTTTTTTTTTTTTTTTTTTTTTTTCTGTGCTTAGATTCCTTTTAATGAATTATTCTGGTTTGTTTGTTTTCCAGGTTTTACACCCTGCTAGTGCTGTCCACAGCCCTCTTTGGACAACCACCTTTCAAGAACGTGATTGTGAATGGACTCATCTTGGCAAGGCAGGTGCAGCCCTCTCTGTAGTGACGCGTTTCAGCTCCAGTACCCTTTATTCTAACCTTGAGATTTGTCTTCAAAGCAGCCATGTTCTGATTGGACCTCACGGTATCTCCATCTCCTCTTTGCATAGAGGAGTTTAGCACCACCAACTAGGAGCTCTAGTGCCCCTTTGCTTCTAGTCTCAAACTTGTTTTTTGTTGTTTTTTTACTTTTTTGAGGTGGGGTCTCACTATGCAGCCCTGGCTGGCTTGGAACTTAACCTTGTAGGCAAGGCTAGTTTTGAACTCACAGAGATCTGCCTGTCTTCTGATTCGTACATACGTCTTACTCTTTCCTTTTTTTTTCTCTCCGTGAGGCAGAGTTGCCTCAGGTTTGACATCCTCCTGCCTTAGCCTCTCAAGTGCTGAGATTACGGGTGTGTGCTGCCGCTCTTCCTGTGTGCGATCTTCTGCAAATGCAGAGGAAAAATCCATGTGAGGCAAAAAGGAAATCCAGGTCTGCAAGACTCAGCCAGTGTTGGTTCAGACTTTAGAGTCTGACACTGGGCAGTTCATTTTGAAGTACAGTAGAACTTCAGAACAAAAGTTTCCTGGTGATAATTATCTTAGTCCCATGTACACAATAAAACTTAAAGCGTGGCTGCATCAAAACTCTTGCAAAGGACAGGCAACCTCACCATGAAGATGGGTTCTATACTTAAGGACCTACAGGAAGATCTGGTGTGGTCTCAGTTATACAGAAAGCCTAGTGGTTACCAACCTATAAGGGACACGTGACATCACCCTGTAAATGGGTTCTATTGATTAAAAAGAAAGCTAAAGTCTAGGAAGAAGAGTCTGGCATAAACATAATAGTCTTGGGGATTCAGGCGTGTCCTGGGCCTACGGATAGCACAACTCACCAGGATTTTAAGTACATCTACTCGCAGCCTTGTGGGTGGCAAACAGGCATGCACACGTGTTCCCTTGCAGAGACAAATCTGTGCGCTTGACATTCCTGGTTTCTCTAGCGCTTACCTGAGCACAAAGCACTCTTGCCCTCTGCACTCCTACTCACTGATGCGCTTGTTCTGTCTTCTCTGCCTACTTCCACGTGTCTTAGTGGAAGGACTAAGTGGGCCAGGCCTCCTGGAGACAGAACAAGACATGACAGTTGTGTTAGTAGTAGCAGGGTTCCTAGTGATGTCCCTGGCAATGGAGTTAAACTTAGCTCGAGTAGTGTTTTGTAAGGTACTTTAGTGTTCATGTCTCACTTGTCTGTGCTTCGCTCCTGACATGTGGGTTTTTATTGTCCTCTTTGTCAAACATAAGGACACTGGGTTTCAGAGACCCCGTGAGTTGCAGGATCAGAGCCATAGCGCCACAACCAGGCTCCTTCCAGAGTCTTCGACTCCTACAGAGAATTATTTCCTAATTGTATCAGTAGTTTTAGATCAGTCAGTAAAAATAAACAATAATTCTCCGTGTATCTTTGGGACCTGTCTGCTGTGGCTGTGTCCCTTCCTAGCCACGCAAGAGCATACTCTTGGTTTTGGCAAAGCTGTCACCAATTAGTTGGTATTGGATTCTGATCTGCACAGGTAACATTCTTTATTGTTAAGCTCTGGGATGCCAAATTAATGAGCATGTGTCTTAAGGTTTCTCTTGCTGTGGTAAAAAACCATGACCAAAACAGCTTTAGGAAGAAAAGGTTTGTTTCATCTTATAACTCTCCGGGAGGGAGTCAGGGCACACTGAAGGGAGTCAGGGCAGGAACTGATGTGGAGGCCATGAAGGAATATCTACTGGCTTATTCCCTGTGTTTCCCTTAGCCTGTTTTCTTATACCACCCAGGACCACCAGCTCAGGGGCGGGCCCTCGAACATCAGTCATCAATCAGGAAAATGCCATGTGGGCTTGCTTATAGGCCAGTCCAATGGAAGCACTTTCAATTTTGGTTTCCTCTTAGATAACTCCAGCTTGTGTCAAATTAACAGAAACCCAGCCACAATTGTGTAGTTTTCTAAACTATTGCTAAGATATTTGTAGAAATCCTAAACAGACATGTTAAGTAGAAGAGACTATCCACACAAACACCCTGCTCCATATTGCTGTATGAAAAGGCCTGTATGTGCCTGCCATGCATAACACATTACCCCTCAGAGAAATGTGACATAGACTCTGGAATCAGGCCCTTTGGTGACAAAGGAACAGAGAAAGTACCTTGCTGAAGATATACTGCAGATGAGTGGTAAATTCCCATTTTGAACATAGGCATCAGGCCCTGTAAATTCTTTTTTTTTTTTTCCAATTATTTCCTGTTGGTGCTGAGATTCCCACATGCTTCGCCTCTGAGGCCTCCCCCCCCCCATTCCTTCCTTTTAGTGGTTTTCTTGGCTGATGAGATGACTCAGCAGGCAAAGCACTTCTGACCTCGGGTCGTTCCCAGACCATTGTTGAAGTGGATGGAGAAAGCCATCTTACTACAGGTGTCCTCTGACCTCCACACGTACACCATGGCACGTGCATGCCTGCCCATACACATCCTAAGTATACTACTTTCTCACCAGGACAGCTATGACATTAAATGGTTTCACCACCATAGGACCTTGTTGCTGCACTTACTCGTCCATCCCTTTTCCCAATTTCTCTGGGATAAATAAATGCTAAAACATCTTTCTGCTCCAATCTATCTTGAAATTTCCCTAAAGACTTACTGTGGTATTAAAAAAAAGACATTCCGTGGCTCCAGGGGTAAAGGCACTTCCTGTGCAAACTTGACTGACTTGGATCCCTGGAATCCACATAAACATGGAAGGAGAGAGCTGACTCCAAAGTGGTCTGACCTCTTCATGAATACCTTGGCCCATGCCTCACACGGATACATACACAGTAACAAAAAAACAAATTTAATATAAAAGAGCAAAACCCTGGCAGTGGCATGAGGCCAGTCTGGTCTACAGAGCTCCTGGTCAGCCAGGGCTACACAGAGAAATCCTGTCTCAAAGAACCAAACAGGAAAAAAAAAAAAAAAAACCTAAAAATAGAAACAAAAATTCCATGCTATTGTGACTTAGACTGGCTTATATCTCAGTTACCATGAGCATTTGTATCCTTGCGTATGGCCTACATCTATATAGAAAGACCAGCTATATTTACTTATGTAATTGGTATCTTTCTGTTTTAACAAGTGATGGCCAAAAAATGAGCAAACGGAAAAAGAACTACCCAGATCCAGTTTCCATCATCAACAAGTATGGCGCCGATGCCCTCAGGTAGGAAGCAGCTCTGCTCATGTGTATCTCCTGTCCTTAGCCACCATGCTCAGATTGCTCGGTAATTATGCTCTGAGCATGGGGTCTCTGTATGGTGAGTTATATTTTTATAGTTCTTGACTTTCAAACCTAGAAGTCATAGGACTAGAAACTGTCCTGGATATCCTGAGCTGTCCATGACCCAGGAGGTGCAGACTGTCTACCTCAGCTCCTGTCTAGGTTCCCTATCTTGATGGTATTAGAATTATCTCATTTGGAGGATTCGGCAGGGGGGGCGGGTGGGGTGTCTTGCAGTTATAGAACTATACAAGATGTATTCACACCAGAACAAATAAATTAGCACCTAGGAGGTTTTAGAGTAATTTTAGCTACTGCTTGAAACAGTCATGTCCCTGAAATCTGTAGTATTTAGGTTGCAAAGGCCTAGCAAACTTGTTCAATATCCCCATGCCATCGGTGACACCCACTCCCAAGCTCATGGTGTGCACCGCCGGACGGTTCCCTGAGCCTGAAAACCTTCCTCTCATTCATTTATCAGGCTTGTATTTGACCCATTGTCTGTTTGTGCTGGGCCATTCTCCACAGTGAGGGTTGTCCTCTGGAGTGTAGCAGCGCCCCTCGTGAGCCTGTGTGCACCAGTGACGGCCTCCTCAGTCCTTAGTGAAAGTAGAAAGACTTCTGTGATTGGGGAGAGGAACTACAATGTTTGCCTTCTCGGTGTTACAGTAGTAATACTTGGTTTACCGTCTGGGTAAATCTATTTCTTTGTGAATGCTCTGCATCTTCCAGGTTGTACCTGATCAATTCCCCTGTAGTGAGAGCAGAAAACCTCCGCTTTAAGGAGGAAGGAGTGCGGGATGTCCTCAAAGATGTGCTGCTCCCGTGGTACAATGCCTACCGATTCTTCATCCAGAACGTCTTCAGGCTTCACAAGGTATGTACCACACTGGGCTGTGTATGCCAAGCTATGAGGTGGCATCTGGTACCTTGAGGCCACTTTCTTCTGTCGTCTGCTGTTGGATAACCCAGAGCCACGAGGAAGCCTTGTGTGATGATACAAGAGGTGTCTGGTCCTCTGCAGGACACGGCCTTCTCTGTATAAAGGGGTGTGTCTTATTTTGGTCAACCAGTTCTTTGTCACAGAGATTTGGTGTTAAGCGGGGTTTCCCTCCCTTCCTGAGTGGTGGGGTGTGGAATTAGAGACAGTATAAGTGTCAGATACTGACAGAGTTACCTGATGAAGTCCAGGGCCAGACCCTGTTTCTTGAGAGTGTGGTCAGGGAATACTTGTAAGGGAAAGCCTTGGACCGAGACTTGGAGTAACAGCAACTCAGAATAGTAGTCAGGCTGGGTGGTGGTGGCTTGCGCCTTTAACCCTAGCATTCAGGATACAGAGTCTCTGAATTTGAAGCCAGCCTTACTTAAAATCACAATTCATTGAGGATTTGAGGATTTGTTGGTGCTCAGCCTGATTATTTCAGAATGTCAGATTTCAGCTTGCTAGCAGGGTCCAGGGTTATTTTGTATTTTCCGTACTTCCTTTCATTTAACTGATAGTAAACATTTGGTAGGCCTAGAGAGATGGCCCAGTAGGTAAGAGTACTTGTTTTTCCAGAGGACCTGAATTTGCTTCCCAGCACCCATATTATACCCATATTATGTGGCTCACATACACCTCCAACTCCAGAGGGTCCAATGCTCTCTTCTGATGTCTATGGACACAGGCCACGGGCACATAGATCACACACACACTTAAATGAAAAAATTAAAGTTATTTTTCTCTGGTATTAGTTCCCCCTTTGTGCATGTGAACGTCTCACTGGGTGTCTGTCTGTAGGAAGATGGAGTGGAGTTCCTGTACAATGAGCACACGGTCAGAGAGAGCCCTAACATCACCGACCGGTGGATTCTGTCCTTCATGCAGTCCCTCATTGGGTTCTTTGAGACGGAAATGACAGGTGAGCCTTCTCATGCTGTCTTCCCAGGGGCGAGGACTGTTACTCTCCTATAATCGTTCTTTTGGTATTTCGGCTGTTTCCCCTTATTAACATGGAGCAGGTTTTGAGAGGTAACACAGATAATTTTTTTTCAATAACTCTGAATTATAGTTTTAATGAGACCCATTTGTTGTAGAAAGGAGTTTATTCCAGGGCCCTGGGGGATTTAGTCTGAAGAGTGCAGACTTTTTGTGTAGAGGATCATCCAAGAGCCCTACCATCTTTCCAGGATAGCTGCTGTGACTTCCCATGAAGTGGAGTCAGGAGATTGTACACCTAGGACGGAACTGGGTCTGCATAGGAACTAGATAGATGATGAGTCTCTCTACGATGAGGGTTATGCACAGGAAGCTAGCCACCCTCAGAGGACAAATCCTAGCCAAGAGGTCACATGTCCCCATCAACAAGACCATGAAGGAACATGTCTACAGGGTGGTGGTGGCATCCTGGGGGGGGGGGGGTTGCCAGTTACTGTCAGCTCCCTCAGGAAGAGTTGCTTCTGTCTCCATGCTGTGTGCGCACATGAGATGTGAGGTTCACTTCTCTCTAGAAGATGAAACCTGAACCCAGCAATCTCAAGCTTCCCAGAAAGTGAACTCTAGACATAGTACAGGAGGGCCTTTCCTCTTTAACAGAAAGGGCCCCAACTGCTGAAACCACCTGTCTATAAGTGTTTGACCACCTAATGACTGTGGCCCTGAATTCTGGTTTCTTGGCGGTTGGTTGGTTGGGTTTTTTGTTTGTTTGTTTGTTTGTTTGTTTGTTTGTTTGTTTTTTGAGACAGGGCTTCTCTGTGGCTTTGGAGCCTGTCCTGGAACCAGTTCTTGTAAACAAGGCTGGTCTCAAACTCACAGAGATCCGCCTGCCTCTGCCTCTGCCTCTGCCTCTGCCTCTGCCTCTGCCTCCACCGCCCGGCTCTGAATTCTGGGTTCTGTGAACCACAGTAAGAGCAGCTCTGCCCTTTGCATCTGCTCCTAGTGGTGCAACTGTGTTGTGACACCGTCAAGAGTTTGGCCGCTTCATTCTTCTCACTGGGGGCTTTGTCAGATGTTACCCCTGGCCAGGCACTGCCAGTGCGTGCTGTGCCCCTGAGCACCCGAGGCAAGCTTTCTGCTACTTTGTAGTTAGGGTAGGGAGGCAACACAGTGGGGTAGAGCTGTGTTCTCTGTGCTGTCCAACCATTCTGTGCACACCATGCTACACAGTCAAAAGAATAAGGGTGCAGTTTTTTCCCACCTATGTAGGTTTGCTTGTAGCTCACTGTCATTTTTGTGTGCCCCTAAATACCTTGGCTGCTGTATCATATGTTCTTGATACATGAGCCATCTGATGGGTTGATTCTCACTGTTCCCTTAGGGGGTGGAGCACCTTGCCTTGAAGAAGTTGCTAATTCTCCCCCCCCCCCCACCCCAAGGCCTGGTTTGGGTTGTCTGACTGATGTGTTGCTTTTAGCTTACAGACTATATACTGTGGTGCCTCGCCTGGTTAAGTTTGTAGATATTCTGACCAATTGGTATGTCCGAATGAACAGGAGAAGATTAAAGGTAAGAACCTGTGGTAGTAACAAAATATCTGAAGTTTTACAGTCATAAGAAATAAGAAATGCCGGGGGTGGGTGACAGACACCTTTTATCCCAGCACTTGGGAGGCAGAGGCAGACAGATCACTGTGAGTTCAAGGCTAGACTGGTCTACAGAGTGAGTTTCAGGACAGATATGGCTGTTGCACAGAGAAACCCTGTCTCAAAGGGGAAAAAAAGGAAAGAATATGAGGAAAGTTCAAAGGAAAACAGCTATTCTGAAGATGTCTTCTGTTTATGGTACATTAACTGTAATGATTGCCATTGGCAGGGTGGGACTTAGGAGTCCTGAAAGTAACCCTGAATGTTTTTGTAATACACAGAGGACAAGTCATGAGGGATGAAGTGTCACAGCTGGGACAGGACTAAACTAGACGTCTTAGAATTGTGCAAATACTGTCAAGTATGGCTATAATCCTTAAAAGAAACTTTTCCCAGGGAGATGTGAACAAATACCTCTTTGCCCTAGCTAGTGTACCAATAACAGCCAAAGGCTTGCCTCCGTCCAAATCTAGTTTTATAAACCAGTGAGTTTATTGGAGCTCCTTATATGACAATGGGTGAGGGGTTATGGAGCATGGATGATTCAGGCATCAGTGACAAAAGCCTACCCCGTCCTGGTGACAACTCGGGAAGGCAGCATTCTAATAGCTTCCTACCCTTGGAGGCAGTGTGGCTGGGCCAGCTCTCCCCGCAGCAATTGTTTCTGCTTACAAAACCTTGAAGAGGGGGCTGCTGGCGATGAGCAGCTTATTTCCGTGCTTCTTAGCCTTGTCCCTGGAGGAAATGCTTCAATTTAGAGGGAAGTGTTACACAACACGGGCACCACTCTGATTCTGTCTCTGTCCAAAGACACGGTGATCAAAAATTATTCTTAGCTGTGGGGGTTTTAGGGTGAGCATAGCATGGACACTGGTCTCCAGACATACTGGCTTGTGCAGAATTTATAGTGAGGCAAGACAGTGGAAACTTCCTCCCTGCAGGCAGTTTTTTCTTACCATAAATCAGTATAGTTACTTTAAAAGCAAACAGTATATATCTTTTTTTAAAGCAAAAAGTTACCTAATTCCTCCTGTCGGATTACGTCTTACTCCCCCCCCCCCCCCTTCAAGTCTGTAGTCAGTCTTTGGCTCGCAGTTACAGAGCCATTTCCCCATTTGCCTGGTCTCCAGTAGGGATGGTGGGAGGGGTCAGTAGACAGCTGTCCCATGCTGGCCTCTGTCATTGCCCTGCATGGCTCCTGGGGCTGATGGACGTGGCCATTTCGCCTTACATCCGTTTTGATGATGCCCTTGCTACCAGCAGCTGATTGATCGTGTCTCTTTTATTCTTTAGGGTGAGAGTGGGACGGAAGACTGTGTTATGGCTCTGGAGACATTGTTCAGTGTCCTGCTTTCTCTGTGCAGACTGATGGTAAGCTGCTCGACCCCTTTCCAAAACTGAGCCGCATACAGCGGCCCCCTGCGGCAGCACCCCATCTGGTCTCCATAGAAGCATCAGCAGAGCCTCCCTTTTCAGTTCTTGTGTCTAACCCTTATTCTAAGCACCAGCTGAGAAATACTAGCTGCTTAGTCACTGACAGTTCAGCACTTAGACAGGATCTACTCTTAGGGAGGTTAAGACATCAATCTTGTTAATGTGACTGCAGTAATTGTGAGTAACGAAGGAGACTCTTAAACTCATACTTAAATGATCAAGCATATCATAACAGGGCTGACAGAAAAGTGTAGTTGTTTGACATAGATCCCTATTGGTAACTGGATTAAGTGGCATGTAAGTGGGAAGGCTGCTGCTTCAATTTGCCATGCCCTGTTCTGATGCTCCAGTGTAGTGTTACAAACCTTCTGTTGAGTCTGTAATGTTCATGGGAGATTTTGCCCTTTTACAAGAATCTTGGTGCCGTCCACATCGAGCTTCCTACACCTGCATCCACTGATACAAGTGTGGGTTTTTCTGCTTTACAGATACGGTTTCTGGGTTTTAAGATATTTAATATTTGTATATTTAGACATAACTGGCACTTGTTCAAGGGCTCCTGGTTTGTTTTGGTTTTGGATATCCAGAGATATTTTCAGCCCTGTGATGTCGCCCTACGACTATGCTTCACACCTATGAAGTCATTTCTTTGAAAGGGGACGTCTAATAACCAGCCTCTGTCTGTGTGTTGCTGTCTCACTCTCTACAGGGACTAGTTTTCATTCCTCAGACTAAGGGAGATCAACGATGAAGGGTGTTTTGAATGACGTTCTCTCCTCCATCCCCACACAGGCTCCTTACACACCATTTCTTACTGAATTGATGTACCAGAATCTAAAGACACTCATCGATCCTGTGTCTGTCCAGGACAAGGACACGCTCAGCATCCACTACCTCATGCTGCCACATGTTCGGTAGGAATCAGATTCAGAAACATTACCCAGGCCATGGGACAGGGAACATGTAGGGTCCTGAGCTCCCCAGGAAGGAGTGGGAGAGGACACATTTCCCTGCTCTGTCTACCTCCTGAACCCTTCCATACCACCTAGGCTGATGCCACCACTCTCCTGCTGCCGGGGCCCACCTGGGTAGGTGGCGGGAGGGCTGCAGCAGCCTCCTTTAGAGTTATGGTTGGGGGAGATGTAAACACCTTTGGGGGGGCTTTGTGTGCCCCTCAGGGTGGGAGTGGGTCATGTCCTTCCTTGGGTACCACTGGAGACCTGGTCTGATCCTTTCTCACTTAAGTGTAACTTTCAGATTCCCACCTTTTAAAAGTAACAGTCTTTCATATTTATCTGTCAGAGAAGAATTGATTGACAAGAAAACGGAGAACGCAGTGTCTAGAATGCAGTCCGTGATTGAACTGGGCCGAGTGATACGAGACCGGAAAACTATTCCAATAAAGGTTTGAGATTTTATTTAGGGATCAGATTGACACAGACCTATGTCTTAGGAAATTTTAGTGTAGACCTTCCAGCAGTGGCTTAATTCTTTTTCCTTTTCCACAATAGACTATGAATGGCTCAGCACTAGTTTAGCTAAACATTCAGGTAAACTTTGGCTAGCGGAGCATTCAGCATTTTGCCATCTGAAGGAATTAGCCCTTAGTTCGTTTTCCCCTTCCTTCCCTTCTAGTATCCTTTGAAGGAAATTGTGGTTATCCACCAAGACCCAGAAGCTCTCGAGGATATCAAGTCCTTGGAGAAATATATCATTGAGGTAAGGTCAGTGATGGGCCCAGCCAGATTTTTTTTTGTTTGTTTGTTTGTTGTTCAGGACTGTTATTTTAGGAGGTATTTCTCAGTGAAGTTTTTATTCTTTTGTAAATTGCTACATGCATGAAATTTTTACATGGTCACTGGATTTCTTTACTCTCATACACTTCCTCAGAGTAAATTTTTATAATTAGCAAAAAAAGCTTTGCTTCTTCAAATGATGAAATGGTAGCCATTTGCTGTTTGTGATTGCACTGGGTGTGGTGTGTGTCCGATAAAGGGATGGCCAGTGTGTGGTGAGATGTCCACCCCACCCACGCCTGTTGTACTGACCACGCCCATTGGGGCGTGGGGACAGGTGTGGGTGTTACTGGTGGGGTCTAGGTCTAGGTCCTGACCAGGGCATACCCTCCCTGTCTCCAGGGTCTCACTTGCTCTCTGAAGACTCTTCCTGGGATTTTACACAATTATACATGTGTACACATTATTCATGTAGTTTTTAGCTCACCATTTTATTATAGCCTTTCGGGTGGTGGGGACTATGACAGAGTCTTACTTTGTAACATACTTTGTAACATTGGCTGGTCTTGGACTCAAAATTCTCCTGTCTCAGCCTCCCATGTGCTGGGGTTACAGGCACATGTCACCACCCCCAGTTCTGTAATACATCTTTATCATGTCTGCATAGGATTTATTTTCTGTGTGCTTCATAATTTATTTAAATATTGTATTTGAGAAATGCTGGGTTCTCATTACAAACAAAGATAAGTCTGTCAGCACATTGCACTGTGTAGGTACCGAGTATCTCCGAGTATTTCTTATGTTTGTGTATGTCGGGTGGAGTTCGGTTCCTGAAGAATAGAACACTGTTGGTAGCTGGGTAAGGCATTAAATTCACCAGATGCTTATTTCCCAGTATTTTAAAGGATTAGGAGTCTGAAATGGATAAAGGTGTTGGGCTCACTTAGAATTTGTCCAAACCAGGAAGAGAACGACTCCTGGTTTCTTTCTGCATCTTCTGCAGACAAGCTACAGTTTATTAGGAATAACACAGAGCCATTGAGACACATAGTCCATTTAAGCTGTCATAACTATATGAATGTCTCCTGTCTATTTAGTTCCTAGTGGGTTCGTTCCCTTCACACAGCACCCAACTGCAGGGGAAAGCAATCTTTTTGGCCATTGTGTCAGTAGTCTGAGGGTTGGGGGGTGGAAGTAGGTACAAGTGTCTTTAGAATCCCTTATGGTGTCACTGAACTTCTCAAAACCTGCATTCTATGATGCTTTTAAAGCAACTATGTTTTAAGTTTTAAAATGCATTAACTGTTTCAAAACAAATATCTTTTTAGTTTTTCACCGGTAACATTTTAAGTACATCATTAAAAATTTTTTTTTAATTTTTGTATTTGATCTTTAATTACTTGAGAATTTTAGACATTAGAATCTAAAAGGTGACATTTTATCTCCTGATTTAATACCTCGTAGACCTGCATCTCTCCATCACCTTTTATGTATGGGTATGACTTTTGAGACATTGTCTTACTATATGCCGTAGGCTTACTTTGAATTTACTCTGTAGCCCAGGGGAGAGTGATCCTCCTGCCTCCACATCCCATGTGCTGAGCTACTAATCATTACACCTGGCTTCCTTCACCCTTTAATCCACCTAGATATAATAGCCAAACTCAATGTCCCTGTCGGGTGCCTTAATTTGTACTCTTTTTCCATGTCTCCTACTGTATCATCAGGGTTCCCTGTTTCATGGGAATCTGTCACTAGCATAGTGGTATCATGAAGTCCTGTGGTTTCACACCTCCTGGTTAGATGATAGTGAATTCCTAGTGCAAGTTTACCCCTGGGAGACGGAGCTTGTATTGCAAGTCCTCTCTCTTTCTTTCCTTCCCTGCTATATTTGTGTGTGTGTGTGTGTGTGTGTGTGTGTGTGTGTGTGTGTGTGTGTCAGAGAGTGTAGTGATCAGGTGTCTTTGCCGGAGATCTAACTGCCTCTGTGCTGTGTGCATGCACCAGTGTTGCTGGATTTTCTTTTATCCTAGCCACATTGGGTGTGTGTGTGTGTGTGTGTGTGTGTGTGTGTGTGTGTGTGTGTGTGTCAGAGAGTGTAGTGACCAGGTGTGTGTGTGTGTGTGTGTGTGTGTGTGTGTGTGTGTGTCAGAGAGTGTAGTGACCAGGTGTCTTTGCCGGAGATCTAACTGCCTCTGTGCTGTGTGCATGCACCAGTGCTGCTGGATTTTCTTTTATCCTAGCCCACATTGGAATGCCAAAATGTTGTTAATGTTGTTGGTTGTTTTTCGCTCTTTTGGCTTTTTTTTTTTTTTTTCCTCTTTGAGGAGCTGCTACCCAGCTGCCAAACAAACACACACAGAGTCTTATTCTTTCTTATAAAAGCCCAATCTTAGCTTGGGTCACTTCTAGCCAGCTTACCTTACTTAAATCTAGCCAGCTTACCTTACTTAAATTATCCCATCTGCCCTTTGCCTCTGGGCTTTTATTTTCTCTGACTTCTGCTGTATAGCTTACTCTTACTCTGGCTTTCTGGCCCCTGATGTCATCCTCCTTTTCTTGCTCCTTATTCTCTTTTGCTCCTTCTTCTCTCCTCTTTACTCTCTCTGCCTGCCAGCCCCGCCTAGCCTTTCTCCTGCCTTGCTATTGGCCGTTCAGCTCTTTATTAGACCATGAGGTGTTTTAGACAGGCAAAGAAATACAGGTTCACAGAGTTAAACAAATGTAACATAAAAAAATGTAACACATCTTTGCATCATTAAACAAATGTTCCACATCGTAAACCAAAGTAGCACACCTTAAAGTAATATTTTACCATGCACTGGCATCAGCCTTGACATCCTCTCTTAGTGATGCTCAGCTCACCTGATTGGTCTTGCTAAGAAGAAGCATTGCTTTTCTATCCCATGCAGATAGTATTCTAAATGTATTGTAGGATCACATCTTAGAATCATAAAATATTTCCTTCTTCCTAAAAAGAAAGCCAGTCTCCCTTATTCACCAGTTTTACCCTTACCAACTGATCGTTTACTGGCAAACACAATTATATTTTCTGTGTGTGGATTCACCTCCTTTTGGCGTTTCATATAAGTAGAAATGTACAGTTCATACTCTGCTATGTCTGTCTTGTATAGCTTAGCATAATGTTTTCATAGTTCATGTTGTAACACAGGATAATACTTAGTTCCTTTATGTTACTAACTACTCCACTGTGTGCATAAACCACACTTGATTTACCCAGTCACACCTCCTTTGTTTACTTCATGGTGCTGGGGATCCAAGCCAGGACCTTGTGCATGCCAAGCAAACATTCTGCACTGAGCTACACCCCAGCCCTATCCATTCAGCAATTGACTGACACTGGGTTATATCTGATTTTGTCTCTTGTGAACAATATTGTTAGGAATATTCATTCACCTACATGTCTTATTTGTTAGAGATTTTTTTGTGTCTCACACTCTTGTTTTCCCTTTGGTACTCATGGAAGGAATTAAATGTTCGAAAAGTTACACTGTCTACTGATAAAAACAAGTATGGTATTCGACTAAGAGCTGAACCGGATCACATGGTCCTTGGCAAGCGTCTGAAGGGAGCCTTTAAAGCTGTGATGATGGCCATAAAACAGCTGAGCAGCGAGGAGCTGGAGCAATTCCAGAAAAGCGGTGGGTGTCTGCCTCACTCAAAGGGACTGCTTTCTATTTAGGCTCCTGTTGGGTGTTCCCATCTTTTTCTTCAACTCTTCATCCCATTCATAAGAATGACGGTTGTAACTTTCCTAGACAGGTACCTGGTATCCCAGCTTCCTACTGTTGCCTCTGGGTGCTGGCATCCTGTTCAAGTCTGCCCTCTTTCCCTCTAGTTACATTTACTCCACGGTCAGCCTTAGTGGAGTGGCTACGGTGGCTCTCCTAAAGGTGCTACCTCACACTCAGCAGCTCTCCACACTTCCTCTGCTTGCACTGGACAGACACAGGGCCCAGCACTCACACTGGCCCTCATTTCACTTGCACCAACGCTTGCTAGTGCTAACCCACAAAACACCAGGGTCATCAGAGGAGAGCACACTATGCTAATAACAGGCAATCAAAGAGGAGGGTTGACCGAGCCCGTTTGTCCCATAGGGAGTATTGTTGTGGAAGGCCATGAATTGCACGAAGAAGATATTCGCCTCATGTACACCTTTGACCAGGCCACAGGAGGGACTACACAGTTTGAAGCGCACTCTGATGCTCAGGTACTTTTCTGTTCCCTCAAAGAGTGTTCTGTATTCATTCATCTATTCATGTTTTTGAGACAAAGTTGTATAGCCCTCTCTGGCCTTGGACTCATTGTGTAGTTGAGAATGCCCTGGAGCTTCTGCTTCTGCCTCTGCAGTACTGGGATTGCAGGCTTAAGGCTTTATGCCCAGCCTCCTAGAACATTCTTCACCAACATATGTGAATGTAATAGCGTATTTTACACATGCTTCACCCACGCATCACCTCATTCCTTTTAGATCTGTTAGGCTTCTGTGGGGGTCCTTATCTTGTTTATCAGATGTTTAAGTGAGCATTTTGTGAAGAATTGTCCTAATTGTTAGGTTGCACAAAAACTAACCCTATAAAACAAGTTTGTCATAGACACAAGAAAGTAATTCAGGTCCTAGTAGTCTGCCTAATAACTTCCTGGGTGAAGGTAACTTCAGAGAAGCTCAAGTCCCAAACGTGTGCTGGGCATGGAGATTGCTGGGGAATGCTGTGGAAGAGAATGTACAGAAGGTGGGCTGATTGAGTCCTTTGCTCCACACTAGAGTGTGGAGTTTGCTGCTTCAGGAGCATTGTGACCAGGGATCATAGGTATTAGAAGACAAAAAAACCATCCCTTCATGTGGTAACTTGTGAAATTGGTCAGGGCATCTTCTATGAACAGCACCCTGAGAAGGAGAAACTGCATCCTTCTAAGAGCTGGAATGATTAGCTAGTTTAACCTACTTTGTTTGCTAAATGACTAAATGATGTTGGATTATACGCTAAACAGAATTTGATGAGGCTTTTTGTTGTTGTCATTTGAGATTTATTTTCTGTATATGAGCATTTCGCCTACATGTATGTATTCTGTGTGCGCACACACACCTGATGCCCACAGAGGTCAAAAAGAGGATGTTGGGATCCCCTGGAACTTGAGTTATAGAAGGTTGTGACCCTCCGTGTGGGTGCTGGGAACTGAACCTGCGTCCTGATCAAGTGCTGAGCCAACTCTCCAGCCCCAGAATTTAGTTACACTAAGCTTTTTAAAAGACTTTTTCTTTTTAAATATTTATTTCTTATTATTGAATGCATGGGTGTGTGGGTGCAGGTGACAGCATGGTTATGTGGGGTCAGAGGACAACTTACAGGAATCGGTTCTCTCCTTCCAAGGTGTTGGTTCCAGAGATCAAACTTAGGACACCAGGGCTAGCTCTGTTCACTAAGTTTGAAGGAAATTATCATATTTCATTGTCCTGTACACTGTGCCTTCTATATATTGGCTTTCTTCCTTCTATATATAGGCTTTAGTTCTCTTAGACGTCACACCTGACCAGTCAATGGTGGATGAAGGCATGGCTCGGGAAGTCATCAATCGCATCCAGAAACTTCGAAAGAAGGTCAGTTTACCTCTTTAGGAAAAAGCTGTAGTTTTGGGTTTGTGCTGGTTTTATTTTGGATGTTATGGGGAACAGATGAGGCAGGGAGTGTAAACTGTAGATACCAGTGGGTGCCAATGATACATTAATCCATAGCGCCTTCTGATTGTACTCTGCAGCAAGGTCAGGCCACCTTCCCTCTCTCCCTCCCCACTCCCTGGCTGGGCACTGAGGGCTTTTTTAGCCCACCCATCCTTCTTAAGTTTCCTTGGGTTTCTAAAGAATTATCTCCCAGAAAGGTCACTCTCTGCTGCTACACAAGGTAACCAGAGATGGCACTCAGTGTCCAAGGAAGACAGATACTAGTGTGGGAGGGCTGCAAGCTGAGGAGAGATTGCTGGGTCTCTGCAGATCAAGGTGAGGAAGGTACACACAGCCCTTTACCTGGGGGTAAAGGCATCACTGAGCCTGTGTTAGGTCTGAGAGACAGGAAGCTCTTACTCCTGGAGACAGTGCTAAGGAGGCCTCCCATGGGCTCTGCTCTCTAAACCAAGCCTCATGACCCGTGGTTTAGAGTCTGAGGAGGGCACTCCAGCGTTTTTGCATGGTGTTCTGGTTTCACAGTGGATCTTTTATTTCAACACTCATGAAGGGCTGATTGCACTAGGAAAAGACACAAGAAAAGTGGGAAAAGGGACACAGAACAGCAGGTGCCAGCCTGGGTGGGGATGGCCTTTCGTGACAGTGCAGCATACACTTACTTGTCCTTTAGTTTGGTGAAACCAAATATGCTTCTCTTTTCGGTTTTTTAATATGCCATTTTAGTGCAATCTGGTTCCAACGGATGAAATAACAGTTTACTATAAAGCAAAGTCTGAAGGGAGATACTTGAATAATGTCATTGAAAGCCACACCGACTTCATATTTGCCACTATCAAAGCTCCCTTAAAAGCATACCCAGTTCCTACATCAGATAACATCCTCATTCAGGAACAAACACAGGTGAGTTCTGGGTTGTGTGGAAGTACTCTAGTGTTTCCCATTGGGTTTCAGTTTACATTTTCATAGTTAATTCAATAAATTCTAGCCTGCTGTCTTACTTTTTCTGTTGCTGTGGTAAAATATCCTAACAGAAACAACTTCCGGTTCAAATCGAGTCCATTGTGGTGGGGAAGGGCTGTTGACAGGAGTATGAGGCAGCTGATTGCATTGTACTGTCAGGCAGCAGAGCGCGCGGAGGCTGTTGGGCTCAGGTAGCTAAGCTCTCGGCTTTTGTAGTACAGAAACTATGTGCTGGCAGTGGTGAGTCCTCGCAAATGAACTCAATCGGGACAGTCCCTCCGCTTGCCCAGAAGGAGATCCCAAGGTCCTGTCAGGAATGACCACAAGCCATCATGCCTGCAGTAGAGATGGGCGTGGACTACAGGGCTGAAGTATGATTGCTCCAGAAGTACTGGGTAGGCTCCAGGAGGAAGGAAAGGAAGACAGCAGAAGCAGCCTCGTGGCAGTTCTCTTAGGGGAGGCAGCCAGGAAGAACTCATTCTGTCTAAACTAGAACAGTGGATGCTGTGGATTCTGATAGTTTTCAATAAAGATGAGTGATGAGTTGGATTGAAAACAATTTAACTTGTTAATAATGGGTTGTAAATTTTAAAACATTTCCTATTACAGGTAATACTTGTTAAAAAAACATTTTATTAATGATATCATTTCCCCCTTCCCTTTCCTCCTTCCAAGACCTCCTATATCCCCTCTTTCAAATTCATGGCCTCTTTACACATAGTACTTTCAGATGTTACTGTGATTGTTCAGCACTAGGACATGAAAAGAATATTGGTTCATAATTTAGAAATAGGTCATGTCATTATTTGATCTCTTTTTATCCCTTATTCCTAAAAATGGGATCGATAAGGAGGGGCTAAAAGTGTCATGTCTTTTCGGGTGACACAGATTATTCCATTCTGTGTTACACATTGCTTACTTACTGGACTTTTAAAAATGAGCATACATTGTTATGTAGCTAGAAAACAGTATCTGAGAGAACAGGTTGAGGTTGAGTTGTTACTGTGGCTCTTGCCTGTGAGGAGCTTTTCTCTTACTGAGCAGTGGCCGGCCCTGTGTTCCTGGCTGTGGGGCCCAGCACAGCCATGCTGGTGCTAATCATGTGCTCTCTGCTCAGTTAAAGGGGTCGGAACTGGAACTCACACTCACCAAGGGATCCTGTGTGCCTGGTCCTGCTTGTGCTTATGTGAACCTTAACATCTGTGTGAATGGCACTGAGCAAGGTAAGAGCAAATGAGGCCTGTGGCGTGTATGACTTACTTACGTAGCCCAAACCTTTGGAGACGTGCCTCAACAAAGTTCTGCTCTTTCTGAAGAAAAGAGCAAGGTAGAATTATTAGACAGTAATTGTCCTGCTCCACCCAAACACGGCGGGGAAGGAAGTCCAGCAACTTTTACTCCACCAGCACCTACTGCAAAGGCCAGGTTCAGGGTACTCAAGTCCCACGGGTGTCACAGAGTAGCACACACCCAGTTCCATTGTAACTTTACAGTGGCATGCCCCCCTGCCCAGTATTGTCCAGGAGGATGGGACAAAGCAGGCGATCCCCTCATGACTAAATGGCAGTAATGAGGTCAGATGGAAGCCATTTTGAACAATAACACAGCATTTTGTTCCTGGTCAGGGAGGTGTTGATGGAAGCCTAGCAGAGAATAAGGGCTCCTTCCCTTAGTACCCTTGGCCAGAAGTCCTGCCCTTGCCGTCACGTAGGCTGATAGACACTCTGCCCTAGGCATTCCCACCTGGAGGTAATGCAGTAGTGCTAGCTACCCCTTGCCTCTCAGTATGATATCAAAGTCAGCTAAAATAGATAATGGTGATACCTCTAACAGCTCTGTCGGGGTTAGGGAGGTGGTTCAGTTGGTAGGAGTTCTTGTTCTGTAAGCCCAAGGATCTGAGTTGTAATCCCAGCACACATGTAAAAACAAGATGAGGAAGGGCATAGCTGCACAAGCGTGTAATCTCAGCACCGGGGTCGCAAAGACAGGTAGATGACAGGAGCTTACTGTCCAGACAGCCAAGCCAGAAAAATCAGGTTTCAAAATCAGTGAGAGATCCTGTCCAGAGGAAATAAAGCAGAAAGGCCACAGAGGACACCTCCCATCCTGTTTAACTCCTGCATGCGTGCTCTCCTACTCACATGCATGTACCATACACATACAGATATACACAGACCATATACCAGGGGTATCTGAGTGGAAATAGGTAGTGAATAGCCACAAACACTGGAGTGTCTTGAGAACAAAGCAATAAAAATGACATATTTCTCAAGGTTCTGGAGAAGGGAAAATGTGAGGTAAAAGCTCCAGTAGTTATGGTGTATGGTTAGGGCCTTTTTCCTGGTGCATAGATTGCTTCTAGCTGTGTCTTCACAAGGCTGGTGAGTTTTTTATAGTCTTTCATAACAGCATTGATCTGTTCATAAAGGCTCCAACCTTGTGCCTTAATGATGGCTCAGAAGCCCCACTTCCTAATATCATTTTTGGGACTAAAATTTCTACACAGGAATTGGGGAGGCGTGGAGGTGATGTATTGATATTCAGATCTTGGCACTTAGCTTCTCAGATTTGTAAATTTGGGTGTTGGGGCAATTATGTGTCTTTTCCTGGGGAGACAAGAAGAAACATCCATTTACCCCAGTGTTTACACATGAGTGTAAAGACAGACAGACAGACAGACAGACAGACACACACACACACACACACACACACACACACACACACACACACACGCTCAGGTGGCCAGAGTTCTCCACTTTGTGTTTATAAGTTAAGGCTTAAGACTTTTTTTATTTGGGCAAATCATTTAAAGTGTTCACACTTAAAACACTTCATAAAAGAGAAAATGGATCCATTGAACTTTACCAGAAGGGAAAGGCTTTGCATTGCTTTTAAAAATTTACTCTGAGCAGGATGAAAACAAGATAAAGACTGGAAAATCTTTACAATAACATCGAACTGACAAGAGATGAAATATTTAAACAGTAAAGGCGCAGTCCAGTAGGAACTCACAGACAGTAAACTCAATAGTAAACACACAATCCGATTAGGAAATAGGGTCATTTATTCAGGATACTATATAAATTATAGAAATAAACATGAAAATATTTACTGTCTTTAGCCACTAGGGAACGGAACATTAAAAAGCACATCTAGGAGCATAATGTTTTTATTTGTGAGTTCATTACAATAAAGTGATTTAGAAAAACCTGCAGTGAGATAATACACATTCGAAAGCACTAAAATTTATGCTAATAAGGATGCCAAAACAAACAAAAGACTCTAGGTCTTGAGTCCGTATAGAAAATATGTATGATTGAAACTGATTGTAGGATGTCCAAATCATAGCCGCTTGAGGGTAGTTTTTTAGGACAGTGATTAATATTTTAATCACTCTGTACTTTGGGGATTTACAGCAGGCACAAAGTGCAAAATGAGGATTGTAAATACAAAAGTTTGGATATTGAAAAGGGTGAAGACAGACTACCTGGTGGTTTTATTCCCTGACCCTCTGAGATTTGCCAAGCCCCTTCTAAGCGGCAGTATGGTTTTTGCTTGTAAAAGGAATCGCACCCACTTTTTATTGCTTGACTTTTCTTCCAAATTCTTTTACTCCACTAAAAGAGTTCTTTTGTGGCTTTCCAGGTGGAGTGTTGCTTTTGGAAAATCCAAAAGGTGATAACAAGTTGAATCTTGTAAAGCTAAAGAGTGTTGTTACCAGCATATTTGGTGTTAAGAATGCAGAGCTGTCAGTCTTCCACGGTGAAACAGGTATGTGGACATCTTGTTGGTGGCTTGGAGTGGGCGGACATCTTGTTGGTGGCTTGAGTAAAGCTCTCTGGGATGAACTGGGTTCTAATCCCCAGCATCTGTCTAAAGTGCTGCTCTAGCAGTGTGCCTGAGGTCCCACACTGAGGCAGTAGGATCCAGGCTTCTCAGCTGAGTCCAACCAGTGAGCTCCCTAACTCGGAAAGTAAAGTGGAGGCCAGTGAGGTGGCTCATGGGTAAAGGTACTTGGGTTTTTACAATAAATGGATTGGAAAACAATTGAGGGAGACACCTAGTGTCAGCCTCTGAGCGCCACACATGCACGCACAGCAACTTAACTTTCTTTACCTGAGCACATATACCACACATGCACACAAACTTTTAAAACGAATTAGAACTTGTTTTCTGACTAATTTCCCTTTTCAAATATAGTTTTTCATGGCAAAATTTGAGATTCACATAGATTGAAAACATATGGGGAAAACATTGAAAGAGGAGAAAACAATTTATGTTGAATTTTAGGTTATGGGGGTTGTGAGTTTAGTACAGCATTTACCCAGAAAGCACAAGGTCACGAGTTTGGATCCCAGCAACACCCCACCCCCAAGACACCCATGACAAATGACAAATATTTTACTGTTTAGTCTTGGCATTACTCAGATTACTCATTTGTGCGGTTGTATTCGCAGGGCTAGAGGTATGGGGTTCAGTGGTAGAGATGTGCCACGCAAGCAGAAGGCTCTGGGTTCAATCCCAACCACCAAACAAACCCCAATTTCCCACTGTTTGGTTGTCATTAAAGCCTGGCTTTGTAGGAAAAGCAGTGTCTTTTGATGAACAAATGAAATGGAAAGCATCACTGTGTCAGGGTGGATAGTAGTGAAGTTGGAAGTGAATATAGTGAATTGGGAAAAGGGAAGTGACTTCAGAATCGTTGTTGCTTTTAGAAATACAGAACCAAGCTGACTTGCTGAGTCTGAGTGGGCGGACACTGTGTGTGACTGCAGGAGCAGCGCCCTGTGCAGGCAACAGCCCCAGCACTCTTGTGTGTCAGTTCATCAACCTGAAGCTCCTAAATGCAGAGCCGCAAGGTATGTGCCCCCTCAGCACTCAGCTTGAGTGCCGGACACTAAAGCGCTTTCCCACGTTCAAATCTCTGACTTAGGCGTAATTTTCCACTCAACTTCAAACAGGAACAGCAGCCAGGCATGGAATGGCACACCCACCTGTAATCCCGTCACTCAGGAGGCTGAGGCAGAAAGGTTACACGTTCAAGGCCAGCCTGGGCTGTGTAGTGAGACCCTACCTCCCCATATTAATAAACAAAGTATTCATTCCCATGGTTCTTCAGGAAATACATTTGTTTTTGTTGTTTTGGTTTTTGCAGTGTGTTTATGTAGAAAGACCATCAGGAAACAAAAAGACCATTGTAAAAATTACATCTACATGGAACTCAGTTGTCTCCGTGCCTGAACTATTTGCGGTGTGATCTTACATTTGTTTTCTTGGGATCTGCCCTGAGAATTTGGACACCTCCAGCCTCAATCCATGGCTTCAGGGACCGTCATTGTGCACATTTTTGCTGGGATCCTTGTCTCTTCCCTTGACTATGCACTAAAAATCAGTTCCCCGATGGCTGGTGTTCATATGTCAGTTTCTCTCATTCCTCCTCTTCCTCACCTCTGACGGTTTAAGGTTACTTCTGGGCAGCCTGTGCCTCCAGCTTAAGCTCCTGTATCCACTTGAGAACGGTCTGCGTTGCTGGTTGGTGCTGTCTACGTACGGTTGCCACCACTGTTGGAACACGAGTTCTCCAGAACTGACCTGCTTTCTTCTTTCTTCTCCAGAGTGTCTAACAGGAACTGTGGGTACTCTCTTGCTTGAAAACCCACTTGGACAGAATGGACTCAGCCACCAAGGGCTTGCATATGAGGCAGCCAAGGTGTTTGGACTTCGGAGCAGGAGGCTAAAGCTGTTCCTGGATGAGACTCAAACACAGGGTGAGTAGCTGTGACCGGAAGTCTTTTCCTTCTTCGAAAGGAAACTTTGCTGCCAGTAAACATGCTGCTCATGTTTTGCCTGTGAAAGTGAGTTTTGTGTATTTACCTTGTTTTGTGTATTTTTGCAAATTAGGCAGAGATTAGCCATAATATAATTAAACGTAATAATAACTTAATAGTGATGTGCAGCCGAGTGGTAGAACACTTCCTTAGCATGTGTAAAATCCCCGGCTCCATGTTATTTAAATTAAGGGGGTGATGATGAAAATAGTTCATCTTTTTGGCAGTAGCTTAAAAATACATACTGCTAGGCAAATTTCTGTATTTCCTGACCTTAAACGTACAAGTGGTTCCCCCTCTTCCTTCGGGGATAGAGCCGGGGGGTGGGGGGTGTGTGGGGGGGGGAGTGGGGGGGTCTTTTAGCCGACACTCCCCACAGCTTATCAGGCATGCCGCCTGCATCTCCTCACTGGGCCACATAACATGTGAAGATCTAGAACATTGTCTTCTCCTGCCAGAATCTTGCTCTTAGCAGAGTGTCCCTCTGTCCTTGTAGCTGCGTTCTAGATTTTCCAGCCGGTCTGTGTTTCTTACCCTAAGTAAGATGTTCTTTCAGGACTTCCCTTTGTCTGTGGTGCTCTGCAGTCCGACTGATATGCCTCAGTTTGTAGGGTTTTACAAATTGTGTTCATTATCATGTATGCTGTGGGGCACACGTGCCACCACCACCTCTGATACCAACACAGCCTTGAGCACTTCTCAGACCTCCCTCAGAATCACTAATTTGCTAGAAAGATTCACAGACTAATTGAAAGGCGTTATACTTATAAAATTGCATATTATACCAATTAGAGTTAACCAGAGAAAGATATGAAGGACAGAAGGATGGTGGGGCTCTGGCTAATTAGGGACATCAAGTCATCCTTTCCTCGTAGAGGAATAGCCATTGTTACCTCTTCCAATCCCTAGTAGCTTTGGCCAGGCAGTGTCATCACCTAGGGAAGCTTGGTGGAACTTGGTGTCTAGAGTTCCGCTGAGGTTTAATGTGTAGACCCCAGTAATTCATTGCCTGCCTGGTTGGTCTTGGTCTCACAAGTTACCAGCTAGTACGCACACTTGACAGCTAAGTCTTCCCGGTGTGGCCACCTGCCCTGAGCCATTCTGCTGACAAGCTAATATATAATCAGAGCCCACTGTGAGCAACAAAGATACCCCTGTCAGGAAATTCCATCGGTTTAGAGACCCCCTTGGGAGCCAGGACAGAGGGGAGAGTGGCCTTAGGGTGGGGCCAGTGGTAGACAGTTAACAGTCTGTTTAAATGTTCACTCACAACAGCAGATTATTGACCTTTTTAAAAAACTTCTCTTCTAGAAATTACAGAAGATATCCCAATGAAGACTTTGAATATGAAGACTGTGTATGTTTCTGTTCTGCCAACAACTGCAGATGGCTAATAGTTATCTATGTCAGCCTGCCCTGACTTTCTACTCCTTACACACACACACACACACACACACACACACACACACACACACACACACACACACGGGCTCAGTGAAGGTATTTCCTTTGAGCACATGTCTAATATGCTGCTTTGAACCCACAGTTCAGATGGGATTAACTGACTTGAGACCTCACATGTTCACATTAACCTTAAACACCTATGCAGTTGTGTTGGGGGAGGGTCCTGAAGTTACCTCAGCACCACAAAGCTTATTTCTGTACTTGAGTTCTTTCTTTAATACAGAAAGTAGGAGTGATTTAAATGGCATAGTACATATATGAGTATGTTTATCATTTTATGGCCTTGTAAAACTGATTCGAGACCTTGTAAAGAAATGGACATGTTATATATTTCTGCTACCTGGATTTTCCTGGGTAATTTGATGAGACATTTTATGTTTGATTAAATCAAAACAGTAAACACTCTTCTCAGATACCGTATTAGAAGCAATTTATTCTCCCATAGTTTAATGAAACTTGAAATGTGTAATCCATACCCCACCCTGACAGAATTTCTCCGTTTAGACAGGCTGGCCTGGAACTCACAGATCTGCCTCTGCCTTCTGAGTGCTGGGTTTAAAGGTGTGTACCACCAACGCCTGGCTAAGGACACATTCCATTTAAATTGCAAAGACTGGCTTTATACTGTCCACAACACCAAAGAACAAAATCACCGACACCAGGGGTTACTTTAAAAGCGGTTCACTCTAGGTCAGCAAGATAAGACTGATAATCTAAATTTGGTCCCTGGGATCTACATGGTGGTAAGAGAGAACTAACCCCTACAGGTTACCTGTGACCATCACATACACATGTACTGACCCAGTATAGAGTCTGGGAAGGTGGCTGCTTCCTCAAAAGTCCAGGAAACAAAATAACAAATGTGTGTGTGTTCAAGACTTGCTCTGGGAAACCTACAAATTAGAGTTCCAAGTGCCATCAGTACCTTATAGGAAGCCCTGGGCCTGATTCTCCTATAGAGAAGCTAATTTAATAGTCTGTGGGGACTGTGGCTATCATATACCTTTAATCCTCACTCAGATCTCTGCAAGTTCAAGGTCAGTTTAGAGGTTGTAGTGTCCCTGATGAGCATAAAACCAAAGCAACTTGAAACAAACAAAAACAGTTGTTGGGTTTGCCCCCATAGCTCCTCCCACACCAAGTACAGAAAGTGACAGTCTAGGTATTATAATCTTTAAAATGTGGCTTGCTAGAGAAAGACACCATGTGACAGAGTTCAAGCAGAGGGTGTTTTTTTTTTTTTTTTTAAAGGGAAAACAATTATAAAAAGGGGAGGGGGAGACCAGCCTTCAGGAGTAGGAGCAGCAGGAGAGAGGCAGGGGGTGGGGAGAGGAGAGAGAAGAGAAAGGAACAGACAGACAAAGGGAGAGCAAGAAAGAGAAGAATGGGAGGTGGCAGGGCCCTTTAAAAGGGATCGCAGTGAACTGGCACAGGTGGTGCTCTTAGTGGCAGCAGCTGAGGCTTTTCCTGTCAGAACCCCAAAGGCAGGTCAGTACAAACGCCTAAATATTAACACTAGGGATGCCACATGACACTCCTGTTGTTATGGGGGAGGAAAAAAAAAAAAAAAAACAAAAGCACCTTATGGAAGAAAATGCTTACAGTTATGCTTACAGTTATGCTTACAGTTCCTGAAGCACAGAGTCCATCGTGGCAGGGAGGCATGGCTGAGAGCTCATGTTAGGCACACAGAGGCCCCTGTACTCACAGAGAAGCACTAAGAGAACCAGGCCAGTCTCCTCAGTAGAGATGAAAGTCAAATACTTACATCCCATTCAGAAATCTCAGACTAGATTTTGTTAATGATCTTGTGACCTTTTTGCTGTCTGTGAAGGCAAACCTCACCCACGTTTTTCTATAGAGACAAACCTCACCCAAATTCCACAGAATGATTGTCCCTGACTCTTCCCTCCCTAGAGGGTTTCCCATCCTTAGGGGAGATGTCACATGTATTTTATGGCCTGTTGACCTCTAGGCTATTGATCAGAGGTGACACCAGATTCTAAGCCTTTTAGCGATAGAAGTCACTGTTGCAGAATATTTCTTTACACTGTGTGAAGATGTGTCACTGTGATTGGTTTAATAAAGAGCTGAATGGCCAATAACTGACAGGAAGAGGTTAGGCTGGACTTCCAGGGACAGAGAGGACTGTGGGAAGAAGAAAAGTGGGTTTGCCAACCAGATTTGGATGAAGCAAGATGTGTAGTCCAGAGATGAGGTAACACACATGGCATGACATAGATTAATATAAATGGGTAATTTAAGCTCTGTCGTTATTTGGGAGCTGTCTGGTGGGGCAGGATAAGACTTGTTAAAACCCACCCTTTACAGTTTTGAATTTTGTATGATTGATGGTCAGTAGTTTGATTTGTGAATCTTAAGGAGTGACCTTCTGTTTAATAGCTGTTACAATGGAGAAATAAATACTATACAATCTTAGAAATGTCAAAAGGAAAAAAAAAAAGACCACCCACCTTCATGGTCACATATACTTTGTAAGAGAGTCTCTAAGTAGTCACACCATAGGCTTTATTGTGCACCTGGAATTGGAGTGATTGGACTGAGTTGTCTGGAAACCTTTTACATAATTGTGCTTTGTTTTAAATGTTGCAATAATGAGCAGCCTGGCATTAGACTCCTTGAATCCTGCTCCAGGCTGTACCTGGTTTCCATTTGTATCTTTTTTTATGGCTCAGTATGCTTTCCTGTCTGATGCCTGCAGAGACCCCCTCAGGCTCACATCTTGAACCACAAGCAAAAAGTAAGAGAGCAAACTGGAATCAGGCAAGGCTTTCAAAGCCATCCCTACCACCACCACCACTACCACCACCCCCCCAGTGACATACTCCACACTTCCTAAACCTCCCGAAACAGTGTCACCAACTGGGGACCAAATGTTCAAATGTCTAAGACCATGGGGGACATTTCTCATGCAAACCACCAATGATACCAAAATGATTTCTAACGGAAGGAAATGGCGTGTTCATTGTACCTATACATCATAGCTCATTTTAAACTATGTCTCTCTATTGGGGTTGGGGGTTTAGAATGAGGTCTGGAGGTATAAATTGGATTGTAAACACGAAAAAGGAAGGGGACTGTGAGCTAAAGATGGATGTGTCCCCCACCCCTTGTACAAAGCGACACATTTCTCCTACAAATCCTTCCTCTGCTGTGGCTTAGATGTCAGATTATATACCTCTGAAAACCCTGCCCACAACTGAGGAGCAGAACAGGCCTGGATGACATGAGCAGAAAGAAACGCAGGTTCCTTGGCTTGCCTCTGAATCCTGACCCACAGTGGCAGGTCGCACAACATGGAACTCTTTGTAAAGTGAGGGACTTGGAAGCATGCTCTGAAGTGAGGCAAAGAGAGCAACTGGAAAGTCCCTATGTGTGAGAAGTCTCCTTACAGTATGCAACAATGAGCTCAGCAAGCAGTTTTGAAGAACTAAATGCAGACACTCAGAAATAACATTTTAAGAAGTATTGTCTAATGTCCTTAGTGGGAGAATGCAAGTTTTTTAATTAGAGAAATACCTCCCAATGATCTGTTTTAACAGACACAATCAGTCAAACCAAGTCAAATGGAGTACTGAGTAATTTGGTGGGAGGCACACATATGCAGATTTTGTTCCCTCCTCTCTAGACCAAGTATTAGAATATCTTGAGGAAGCCTCTGTTGTGGAGTTAATGAACAATAAAACGACGACACTAAAACCTTTTGTCAAGTCTGGGAGTGGAGAAGCATGCCAGTAAACCAATACTAGCAAGGCAGAGGAAGAGGCAGATGGGTTGCTATAAATCAAGACAAGCCCGGAAGAGTGGGTGCTGGAGAAGAGTGAGTTCTACGTCTGGATCTGCAGGCAGCAGGAAGAGAGGACACTGGGCCTGGCTTGAGCATTTGAAACCCCATAGCCGGTCTAGCAACACATTTCTTCCAACAAGGCCACACCTATCCCAACAAAGACTTGCCTTCTAATAGTGCCACTCCCCAGTGACCAAGCATTCAGATCTATTAGCCTATCCAAACCACCACACTATGAAATAACATTAAAAACAAAAAAAGATAAAAGAATAAAACCGAAGTTGAAGGGCTGGAACTAATATTGAGGAAATCTAGAACGTGAAACAGGTAACTTAAGGACTTGTTCAATTAACAGACGTTTCAAAAATGAACAGGAGATACCATGGAGTAATTTCAGGAACGTTTCCAAGTCTGCGGAACACAAATTTCAGAATTAAAGTGACTAATCACATACTCGATGCAAACAGTGGGAAAAGACAATGAAGAAAAATTATTTTCATCGTTAGGATTTTGGGCCGTGACTTTTTATGATTGTAAATTTGGAATTCACCAAGAAATGGTTTTAACATGGATTGGGTGCAGGCATTAAGGAGGAGAAAGAGTCTGGGGCAGGGGCAGTACACACTCGGGCTCCTTAAGGGAGAGCACTTTTCCTTTCAGACCGTCAGCTCCTTAGAGACAGGAGAATCTTTAGTCCTGATGATTCTCGAATCCAGTAACTAACAAAGACCCACCCAGCAGTGAAGAGTTTATTGAGGAAGAGAGCCAGGAGCTGGAGGCAAACCCAAACTCTGACCTTCAAAAAGTCAGTCTATTTCTTATGAGATAGGGTCTGTGAAGGGGAGATGGGCTGTCATGAGCTCTCCTGTGGCCAGAAGGAAGGCCGTGCGGTGAGGGAGACAGCAAGTACATTCCCCAGAAACAAGGCACAGAGCAGGTGAAGCCTCTGCTCTTAAGCCAGAGCTCTCACGATTTCAGACCTAGACAGAGAGCCAAACCTTCTCAGTGCCTACTAGACACAGGTCACATGACTTCAACCTGGCCAACGAGGAGAGCCCATGCTACCTGGGCCGTCTGATTGGCTAAGTTCTAGGCATGTGACCAATCAGACCCTAGGTCAGGCTTCACAGTTGGAAGTGGGTGAGGGTTACTGAGGCAGTTGGTGCCTGTCTTGTGATTTGAGGGCAGAGTTATCTCTCCCAAGACATTAGCGGCAGAGTTGGCGTGTGCACTGAGCCACTAAATCAGGTTTACTCATCCAACACTGAGGTACAGTCTTGTCTGCCATGAGACTGCTTGCTTTGATGGATTCCATCATCCTGTGTTGTTTGCTTGTGTAAACCACTCTGGACTAGGTGTTAAGACATCGACCCTTGTCCGACAGTTATTTTGAGCCGCCCAACCCCCTCTGCTGCTCATTGTAGACTGTGTGGTGGCTCTGAGAACCCAGACCCCTCTATAGTGCTTTGTGGACCACTTCTGGCAACCGGGCCATTGTCCTCTTCTATGTCCTCAGTGATTTCTCTTTTATGTTCAGGCTCCTCCAAATCCCCAGACTTTGCATGTGAGAGAAAACCATAAGTATTTGTCCTTGTGTGACTGGCTTGTCTCATGCAACCCAGCCATCTCCAGTTTTATATATTTTCCTGAGAATGACACTTCGTTCTTACGGCTGAGTATATGGTTTTTGACTTGGGTTGCATACTGTATTTATTAATCTGTATATGGTGAACCATCCTTACATTCTTGGATGCAAGCTTTTAGTGTGTCGTTGAATTTGGTGTGGATACTAAATATTATCATTAAGGATTTCACATCCATGTTTAAGAAAGTTGACATAATTTTTTGTTTATTGTGTCCTTATCTAGTTTTTGCACATGGGTAATATTGCTTTTGTGGAATGTGTTGAGAATTGTCCCTACTCTTCTATTTTATTTAATACTTTGAGAAACACTGGAGTCTTTTTACATATCTAATAGAATTCATCCATGAATATATTTGGTCCTGGGCTTTTTGTTGTTGTTGTAATTTCTTCTTTAATTTTCAGCTACATTGTTTGTTATTTATCTATCCAGGTAATTAATATATATATATATATACATATATATATATGTTATATGTGTTTAGAAATTTGTCCATTTCTTCTAGTTTTACAGTTTAATGAAGTATAGGTCTACAAACTATTTCCCAATGATTCTTTAGATCGGTGGTTCTCAATTTGTGGGTCACGATCCTTTAGGGGTCAAATGACCCTTTCACAGGGTTCACCTAAGACCATTGGAAAACACAGATATTTACATTACAATTCAGGCACAGTAGCAAAATTACAGCTATGAAGTAACAATGAAATAACTTTATGGTGGGGGGTCACCATGACATGAGGAACTGTATTAAAGGGTTGCATCATTAAGATGGTTGAGAACTGCTGCTGTAGAATTTAGTCATATCTGCTATAATCTTGCCTTCTTTAGCATCTACTTTTATAATTTGTGTCTTCCCTCTCTTGGTCAGTTTGGGTAATGGTTTTGTCAGTTTTGTTTATCATTTCAAGTAACTGACTCTTTGTTTCTTTGGCCCTTTATGTTACTATTTTGGTTTCCATATCATTAATTCTAGTTCTGATCTTTACCATGTATTGTCAGGTACTGTTTGGGGGATTAGTTTCTTCTGTATTCTATGACCTTGAAGTGCACTATGAGGTTGTTTGAGACATCTCTGATTTTGTGATAATTGGAATTTATAGCTATAAACTTTCCTCACAGACCTGTTTTTAATTTTAAAACTCTGCTTTTATCAGTCGGCGTTGTGACTGAAATCTTCAACTTGCAGGCGAGAGAGGGGAGGAAGGAGGTAATGATGCAGCTGGGGCTGGAGGAGGCCAGCTCCCCTGAAGAGGTGGCCCTCACAGATCATTACATGCTCCTCAGGACCCTTGGCAAAGGCAGCTTTTCTGAGGTGAAGCTGGCCTGCCATCTCCACACAGGGGTTTGGGTTGCTGTCAAGATCTTGGAAAGGAGTGAGAAGAACGACTCTGTTATCATGACTGAGATAGATATCATTAAATCACTGGACCACCCAAATATTATCAAACTGTTCCATATCATTGAAACCAGAGAACACACCTATATGGTGATGGAACATGCTGCTGGGGGAGATCTGGTGAGCCATATTGAGGAGGTGGGCTGTCTGCAGGAAGAAGAGACCCAACGCATCTTCACACAGATGGTGTTTGCGGTTAACTACTGCCACGAGAATAGTATTGCACACAGGGACATCAAACCAGACAACATCCTGCTGGATGGCAAAGGAAGCGTCAAACTGTGTGACTTTGGCTTGGCCATCAAAGTCACCTCTGGGCAGAGGTTCAAGGGGTTCTGTGGCACCCTTGAATATTGTGCTCCAGAGATTTTCACTGGCGTGGAATATGATGCACAGGCAAATGACATCTGGAGCATGGGAGTGGTTTTATACACAATGGTGACAGGGCGCTTCCCGTTTGAGGCAAAGACCTATTCACAGATGAAGGAGAAGATGCTGCATCCCGAGTACTCCATCCCTTCCATGCTTTCCCAAAGCATTGTGAACCTCATTGTGCAGTTGTTCACTGTGGACCCTGAGCAGAGGCCCAAGATATGTGATATTATGCAGCACCAGTGGCTCAAGGGCAGTGAAGATCTTTCCAAACTCGAATCTTCCTTAGAGCCACGACCCATCAACCCAGCTCCCGGCATCATGGTGGCTATGTGGGCCATGGGTTACAACACCAAGGACATTAGAGACTCTTTACGTGAAAAAAAATTCAACAATATCATGGCAACTTACCTCATTTTAAAGCATCAGTCACCCCGGAGGGACAACAGTAACCATCCAGTGAAGCCTGTGTGGCCTAATGTTGCCTTGACACTTGCAAGCCCTCTCACCTCCCGTCCCCCCTTGAAGAGGACAGGGAGTGAGCCTGCGCTTCACATTTTTACCTTGCCAGCAAAATACCACTTGGGTGACAGTGCCAAGCTTGCCAGGAAGAAGGGTTGCAAAAGTTGCAGCGTGTCTGGCATCCCGTGCTGCCAGCAGAGAACTCTTCCTCCCAACACAGATCCCCAGTTTGCTCCTGTGGCTGCTCAGCTTGTAAGCAGCAGCCTTTGGGAGACCAGTATGACCTGCAAGGGTGTGTCCTTAGGTAATACATCATCAGAGGGTATTTCTTCTGAAAAATATCAGTTCTACAAGGCACCCCAGATTGTAGTGACCACTGAGAACAGCTTGTGCATCCAGAATATACCATCTGAAAAGAAGTCCAGAGAGGCACCCTGGGGTGTGACCACCAGTGGCACATATGGAAATAAGAGGCGTGAGTCCCGTGAGGAAGCATCTTCTGAAGAAAAATTCTCAGGTGCCCAACCCCAGGGCACAAACACAGCTTCTCCTCACAGCCTACACCAAGGCTGGAGGAGGTTTAAGAGGAGGATGGGGAATTGTGTGCAAAGACTATGCTGCTGCCTGCCAGTCCAGCAGACAAGTCAGGTTTCCCAGAAGAAAGTAACTCCAGTGGAGGGGGAAGACAATGGAGTTACACAAAATCAGGTATGTGGGGTGGTGAAGGTGGCCTGAAGCATTTCATTGTTTATGCATTTCTAAGGTCATTTGCAATTGACACATGATAACCATCCCATTTATGGGGTGTGTAATTCACGATGTCTGTGAGATCAGAAGGAACAATCCTTCTGTATAGCCTGTAAAAGCTTAGCTACAGGTGGTATGCAGCAGAAGATGAGGGCCAGAGGCCACAGAAGCAGCAGGAAGGGGCTGGATAAAGCAGGCAAGTGCTGTCAGGGGAGAGCTGTGGCAGAGAGAGTGAGCAATGCAGCATGAATAATAAAAACCCAGAGACAGATATTGGGGTTCAAGCTGAAGATCAGAGACGCAAAGCAGCCGAGCCACTAGAGAGGTCTCACCTCCACCAAGGCTGAAATGGCAATCCTGTCTTCCCTGTGACGGGAAGCTGAATCTTACATGAGACCCATGTTTCTTCCTTATAGACCTCTCTAGTGCTGGGACTAAAGGTGTGAGTTCTGTTCCCCAGAGTAGTCTTGTCCTCACAGAGATCCATATCTGCCCCTGTCTCCTGAGTTTGGGATTAAAGATGTACGCCACCACTGCCTGTCATCTATGGCTAACTAGTGTAGCTAGCTTTGCATTCTGATCTCCAGGCAAGCTTTATTTGTTAGGTTATAAACAATATATCACCACAGAGCAACAGTTAAGTTCCACATATTTACTCTTTCTTCCTCCCTTCCTTCCCTTCTTTCTTTCAGATTCTTTTTTATTTTATGTGCATTGGTGTCTTGCCTGCAGCATGTGTATTTGTGTGAGGGTGTCAGATCCCCCTGAAACTAGAGTTACAGACAGCTGGGAGCTGCCATGTGGGTGCTGGGAATTGAACCTGGGTCCTCTAGAAGAACAGCATCCAATGTTCTTAACTGCCTAGTCATCTTTCCATCCCCAAAATCTTTTATAAGGTAGCCATTATTGAAAAGAAGTTTTGTTTTTGTCTTTTTTCTTTGTTGTTGTTGTTTTGAGACAGGGTCTCTCTGTGTAATAGTCCGGGCTGTCCTGTCCTGCAACTCACTTTGTAGTTCAGGCTGACCTTGAACTCACAGAGCTCTGCCTGCCTCTGCCATATATTTCAACATCACTAAAGTAGTCTTTTTTGTGTGTGTCTTTTTGCTTTCAAGTGTTGAGTTTCTGTGTACTCTGAGGCGTGGGATGGGAATCAGCCTAATGCAACATGAACTGTGGAAGTTCAGGTGGTAGTGTGCCTGCATGCCCATTACAGAGGCTTCTGTCCAGCACAGCAGAAGGTACGTAAACAGTTGTAGTTTCTTTGCAGGAAATCTCCGTGATGAGGCCTGGGGCTAGATATCCATAGCACCCTGCTCAGAGCAGGAGTGTGAGCCTAGATGATGTCCAAAGCTTAAGAGGGGCAAGAAGCCCCGTTTTGTCCCATCTTGAGAGGAGGTACAACAATTTGCTGGGACACACAATTTCCTGCTCGCACATGTGTCTTTCCATTTTGGTTTCCTGGGCGGGGAGATGGTTTTCCACGTGGGGGAAGAATTCTCTCACCAGAGAGACTATTACTAGTGGAACCTGTGATCCTAGGTGGGTGGATGGCCTTGATGGGGTGAGTATGGGAGGCAGGATAGAGCAGATGAAAGCTTGGGAAGCCTGATCTTGGCCATGTCCCCAAGGACAGCTGTGTCCCCGAGGACAGCTGCATCCCTCACTCCTTAGCTTCCCCTGACTGCCGTTGGTTTTACTATATGTCCTGCGTTCCTGATTTCCTCCCATGCCAGGAAACCTAGCCCCACTGTATGGTGATCCATCAAATCAGAAAGGAAAGGGACCCTTTGTATGAGAGCTTTTAATCAGAGCCAAGTCTGTCTTTTTTCTGACAGGACTGTGGCAGCAAGCTGGAGAAGAGTGTTCATTACTTTGGCTAGACTGCCGAGATGGTGTCCCACTTCAGAAAGGTGAGTGGGCCTTGCCAGGCCTGGGCACAGTGGTCTCTCCTGGCATTATTGGTACTTACTGAACTAAGTTGTATCCAGTGTTCCCCTTTGGGGTTAGGCCTAGACAGAAACCCTGGTCATCACTGGGCTGGGATTGTCAGTCTACCATGTTGGCTTATGTGTCTTCGTGTGAGTTGTCTGTAGTGTTCCGGATGCCTCCCCATTGGAGAGCTTTTCCCTGTAATAAGAGCAGCTGCCCACAGGAGGCAAATCGGTGGGCAGTTCATTGCTGAGAATGTCATTGAGTCCACTAAGCACTGGCTTGTGGGAGAAGACAAATTTCTAGGGCCTTCTCTTACCTTGACATTGGCCTGAGTGCAAAGCATGGAAACCCGAGGCTGCTGAGGCCAGCCTGCCTCAGTCCCGAGCACAGCTGTCATTGATCCTGCCTTATAGAAAGGAGGAAAGCTGACTGAGAGAAGGCAGTGACGTGGCTTTGGAGGGAACCTGGTGCCATTCAAGCGGGTAGCAGCTAGCCTATCTCCTCTCTGAGACTGTCCCCAGACCACTGTGGGGAAGCAGCTTGTGTTGACAAGTGTAGACACCCTCCGCCTGCGTCTGTATGGGTGTAGCAGCCATACTGCTGCCAGCCACCAACTCTAATTTGTATTCCAGAACCATGAACACAGGTGAGCCTCCTCCTGCCTAACACAGGAAACAGGCCCAGAGATGCTGAACATGGGGACAGCACAGGCCTAGGTCAGCAGGTAACTACTGAGCCAGGCCTTTGGTCCTACGGCACATTCATGATGCCAAGGCCTGGAAGTCATGTGCTATGGCTCCCATTCATGTGTCAGGCTTTGGAGAGTCATGGTGTGACTCTTGGTTGTCAGTGTGATGACATTTGGAATGAACTAAAACCTACTTCAGCCTGAGAATGGGCAGTGCATGTTGGTTGGCAGTGAGGGCAGGAGACCGTCCAGCAGGACCTAACATCAAGCACTCTCTGTGGTGCAAGGCCTGATAACTAGACGTCTGCTGGACAGAAAACTATGGTAAGCTGACAACAACAACAACAACAACAACAACAACAACAACAACAACAACAAAAAACCAAACAGTGTACATCCTTGTTTGTACATGTAATGAGCTGTGTGTTTTGGGGGAGGTATCTGTGTATGTGTAATGTTCTGTGTTTTTATATGGATGTTTGGCAATTGTGGAGAGTTACATGAGTGTGAAATTTGTATTCATTTATGTGGATTATATGTATGTCTTTTCTATGTATGACAAGATGTTTGTGTGAGGAATATTTAGTGACAGTATGTTTACTAAATGTGCCTGGAAGTTTGGTAGAATGTTTCCTGTGACTCTGTACATTGTAACTAGGCAGCATAATTAGTACACGTGTAGGAAATAAGGATGTATGTATATGAAGGAAAGAGGAGGTTGTGTGTTTGCACAGGCAGTCATGGGACTGCACTGCTTTAAGGTTTATAATATAGTTACTTATTAGTATCGAGGATGTAGGACATGGTTTCTGTCAGCTAGGGATAATTCTGGATTTGCATTTGTATTTCAAATGGTATCTAAATACCTAAAACACTTCCAAATATTTTGGGTATTTAAAGCAGTTGTGTACATACATCTGTGAGTACCTAAATATACAAATTTATTCTTAAAAATGAGATCATTAGGCCCAATAAAATTGCATTAGGGTTGGCTAGTGCTCCATGAATTGTGGAGCGTATTTGTTTAGGGGGATCTGAGATTATGTGAGTCTGTTTCAGAGTGGTACATGAAAAATTATCAAGATACTTGCTGGTTTTATGCCTTGTACCTGTTGTTTTTCTATTGTGTGCATGTAGGTAACATGTACATGTTTGTAACAGGCACATGTGGCTTGTGGTGCATACTTCCTGTAGCAGGGACAGTTGAATACTCAGGCTGTGTAGATTCTTTTTTACTTTGAAAGTGCCTTAGTAAATGTATTCAGAGTACAGTAGCACTTGTATGTGTGTGTTCACAAGCTATAATGGCTATATGTTCAGAATTTGTGCTGTGGTTTTGGGGTGGAGGCTTTTCCATGGGGAGCAGGTGGATTGTGTGCCATACTCATATGGAAGGATGTGGATGTGCAAGTAGCTGGTTTTGGTGGTAGATGGTGCTTGTATTATCCTACTGTGTTCTGTGACACCAGGTTGGCAGATTAACATTGGTTCTCTTGGTATAGTTGCACAATATAAATGTTAAGGTTCTCATTCCCCCATAGAATGGTCTTCACATTTAATGGCACACCTGCATATATGTATATACACACACACATGCATGCATACAGTATGTATGACCAGATGCTTTTGAGGAGATCATCCAGGCCTCAATAGTTTTAGATGAAATCTGAGTGGCCTTCAAGATATTGACCCCAGTGGTTCTGGGCACTGACTGCTCACTTTAGGACCATACATGTTCTCATACATACTAACTCTGGGCTTTCCTTTACGCAGATGGATTCAGAGATGTCTATATCTTAGGCATGTAGATGCTCCTTCAACATTTTATGGTTATGGCACATAGCTATTAAATAGCTCATGTGATAGATATCTGTGGAGAACATAACCTTAATGGTGTGTTGTCTGTATGGATGGCAGTCATAGAACTGTGGTGTTTCTTTGACAGGAAGTTAGGTGAGCTAATCTTCTTCCATGTCAATTGCCCTGAGACTCATCTGGACAATCAAAGGTGATCCTGAGTCCTCATTGGAACAGCTAGCAGACAGGGGCACACTCCCCAGAGACTAGAAATTTAAAGTTTACAGGACTTGTGTCCCAACTGCCAGCTTTCCTCTTTACATTGGCTGGGAACTGCTGTGTACCCACAGATCATCGGTGCCATTGGTTGCGAACCAACATGTCTCCATGGAACCTGAGGTCTCAGGAACCAGACAGGACCTCTAACCATTCATGATACAATGAAAGGTTTGGTTTTCTGTTTGAGGAACTTTATGTTCATGGGGGCAAGAGACTTTTTAAAGGAAATTTTCTCATCTCTGTTGTTTCAGGACAGCTCTAGCTCTGGGTAGCTCAGCTCATTGTGTTTCTC